CGAATTTGGACCCTTGGGTTGGAATCGATTCCAATCCTCATTTCCAATTCATTGGTGTTGCAAAAGAAACATAGATTAATCAAAATCCATTCGTTATGAAATGGAATATCGATTTCGATTCGTTTTTTGGCGTCTTGTCATGCCGATGGATAAATAAAAATTGATTGGTGTCGGTTTTGGGCGGCAGGTTTGGACGCAATTATAGTTAGATTTGGGCCATTCAAAGCATCCAACCAAGTAAATTAGGCCCTCGAATCAATTTTTTTGGTTGATGGGCTTTCGGATTGTTCACGATAGTTCGGTTTTTTTGGTTTTTTTCTGCAGGTTGGAACAATTGTTCGCTTCTGCGTCTTCTTTGCTTTGCCCGTGTTTCGAGCACATGTTTCTTTCTTCTACGCAGCTTCATTCTCAAGTTGCTCCGCAGATGTCCACTCACCCAGCTTGTGCAGCACCTTGCACAAAAATCGACTCTTCACCCCTGCTAAAACACTTCAACACCCTCTGGCAAACCCATGCACTGCTGCACAGCACATAAGGACCCTGCCAAGCCAATGCTCTGGGAACCATCTTCTTCTTCGCCACCTGTACAGGCACAGATCAGCCAGCGCTGGTCCAAGCCCAAATATCAAGCCCGAGTCCCTAGCTATCCTGCGTTTCATGATAATCTCGTAAAGCCCATGGAATGTTTGGAGGAACTTGAAAACGTCATGCAAAACTACAGGTACCGAATTCCTCCTCAGATGTCTTCAGCCACGGTTACGGACATAGCATCTCCAAGGCTTATCACATCCCCTTTGCTTGTCACTCGTATGCCAGCTAGTGTCCCTCTCCGTCTATGAGATGGGCTTGCAGAGTCCGCCTTCATGCTGTCACATACACATTAAGCCAGCAAAGCTCCTCTAGACATGATCTGCCGATCTCTGCCGCTGCAAAACTGGAACCAGAAGTGGTTAGCTTCATCAAGTAGGAAAGAGATGTGTTGCCAGCCTGCCTGTCAGAATAGCACAGTATGTGCGCGACTTCTGCGGCTTGAATGCCTGGGTGAACGTGGGCATGCCCTTCATGACTAGCCAAAGCCCGATCCCACAAGTGCCACTAACTTGTGATAAGGCAGCAACCAGACGCATGCGTCTCTGGCCGTCGGTTAGTGTTAAGGACATATCTTCAACACGCTCCAGGCGGTACCTGCAGATTGTCGTTCGTCAAAGTCAATGGCGTCTCAGTCAGTCAACGCCCTGGTCGCACGACTTGTCCATGGGCAAGACCTTGGTGACAGGCCCACGCTGAACGGCAAGTTGCACCGACCTGGTGACGAACAGACCAGCTGGCAGAATTCAAGGTCATCTCGGAAGCTGCGAATCTTGGTGCATGATGGTGCATGTGAACCCTTGACGCCAACACCATTGTGTGGCCTGCACTTCGGCTAGCTGTGAGACCACCCCGTCGGAAGCCTTGATCCGACGTGAGCGTTGACCAGATGCACATAGTAGGCCCCTCCTGGGTGGCCAGTTTGCCCGTGAAGGAAGGTGAAAAAAACAACACAGGACAATGACATTGGACAATGACATTGCAAACCAGGTGCCGTCATCCAACTCAACGATGTTTTGGAGCACCCGCACCTGGCATGCAGGCTGAAATTTGCCACGGTCTGATGTGATAAAGCTTGACGAACCTTCATGACCAAGCAAGCTCTGCATTATTTGCGACACGTTGCGTGTGCAAGTGTGCGAAAGCTATCAATTCAAAGGAGTTTTCGGAGGGCCTTGGGCTGTGCACCTCCGGCATTTTCTGAAGATGGAGCAACCTAGGTTTGCGCAACAGGAGATGGTGCCAACCCAAGCCGGAGTTTCGGATCCATGCCAGTGTAGAAACACTCCCAGCGCGCATTCAGATGCGTCCGTGTCGCGTTACAAAGTGTGTGTGTATATCCGCCGACCCCAGCTGGAGCGGGGGCGGCGTCAGTGAAGACCCATAGTGCTCTCCATTCCCTGAGTTCGTTCCCGCGCATGCCCAAACCCCCGCCGCTCGACCCATGGCACCCATGGCCTCAGCACGCCCAAACCCTCGCCGGTAGCCCTCCGCTCCCCTGCTCTCCCCGCCCGCTCCGATGTACATGCTAAACTACATTTAAATGAATGCAAGGGAATGGAACGGAACAAAATGGAATGGAATGAATGTGTGTCCGTGTGTCCGTGTCACTGTGTCTGTGTGTGCCTAAGCTTGTTGAGCGGAAAGGAGCCGGAGCCCTGGCAATGAGTAGAGAATCTATGGAATCTTGTAGTGGCACAAGCACACACGTCACCAGAGTATGCGCCAGGACAGTAATTGAGCACCGGATGTCGGAGTTGATATGTGTCCCTTGCAAGTGAAGCCTCCACGTGTCAAGATGTGTCGCTACCTCCTCCTTCCTCCTTCGAAATGACTCACAACTGAGGTCGCAACCGTCAGCTCTGTCCCGCGGTTCTTTCCAAGCACGCTGAGATCGAAGGGCACTTTGGCAACCTGTGCCATGGCCATGGTCCCTCACGAAACCCGCTGCAAGGCTAGATGCAGGCTCTGCACAACAAGCAATGCTTTGTGAACCTGCAGCGAGCCCAACAGCAACAACACGCTGCCCTTGTCGAAGGACAGCTCCTCGAACAGCAAGTTGCGCAACTTTCTGCAATCTATTGGCAGCATGGTACTCTAGACCGATTCCTGGCAGAAAGCGCAAGTCACCACAACTCCTCGAAGTCTTCGCAGTTTTTGAAGTCCAACATAGACAGCACCTGCATCGATTCGATAACTGCATGCTCAGGCGCATGTCGCGCCCATGCAGCAGTGATGCCAGACTCGCAGCCTTTGAATCACCAGTCTCGCTGTTCAAGACCACCTTCCACTGGATGCAGGTCGGTTCACAGCAATGTCACAGCGACAAAGGACGTAACGGCGCAGCATCTCTTTGCCTTCAACTGCTGGTGATGCTTGTAGGCATTGCACACAGTCAGTCGCGGACGTGGTGCCTGCTGACAAGCAACCAGGTGAAGTCATTAACGAGGACAGCCCGGCCTCGTCGGTCCACTGCAGCTTGGATGCCTCAACAGAGCATTTCCAAGGTTTGCAACCTTCAGGCTTTGTGGACTCCGTGGACTGCGCAGCAATGCCTCAACTTTGCGCGCGGAGCCGTCCGGCAGCTTCACGATATAGCGCTGGGTGCTGTTTTCGTAGTTGGTGATTTTAACGACCTCCATTCAGAGAAATTCACAGCATTGCGACACCATTGCAAGCAGGTGATGGACACAGAGACAGAAAAACAGACAGATACAGAGAGAGAGAGAGAGGACGATCCTGCGGACTGGATCAAACTGCCAACCTTCCCATTCATGGACATGGCTTTGAGGCCCACCAACTTTGCACGTGATCCTTTCTGCAACGACCTACGCGCGCAAGCAACTGACTTTAATCTTTCCATTTATGCTATGACAACGACGTGCCACGAAGCACTGGCCTTTGCTGCGGCTCGCTTGACTTCGAGGCCTTCCAAGACCGACTTAAGGAACCAGGCAACAAAGAACATTGCAGAATATTGCAGAATATTGCAGAATATTGCCCCCCCAGATTGCAAAATGTTGCAAACTCAATTCACGGCAGGATGCCAGGACAGTCACGCGATACTTGACTTTAGCTAGTCCTGCTAGCCCAGGTCTTTGGGCCTCGCTTGCTCCCACAGTCACTACCCACTACCTGTCCTCAACATGCATTTGGGGTTTGGGCCTTCGAAGTTTAGGGAGGATCCTTAGGGCTTTGGGCCTTTGGGGTACAGGAAGGGGTGACGGCTGAGTCCAGAAAAACGCGGGCAAAACTTGGGCTTTTAGGGTTCGGGGAAGGGTTCAAAGTTCAGGGGTCTTTAGGGTATGGGACGCCGTTTAAGTCGACCACGTACAGTATGAGCACAAGCGAGGGGTGAACCTTTGGAATGAACAGACACTTTTTCCAGGTATTTTATGCGCAAGAAACACGGATTGGCCGGTTAATGTTGCATCCTGATGAGTGCATTGCCTCAGAATTGTGAACCATTTTCCGGAAATCATGCAGCGAGATCTATTTGATTTGGTCACCCAGAATTGTGAAAAGCAAATTCGGGCCATGCGAACTCCTCGGCAGAACCCCCCTCTCCCCTCCCCACCCAAAAAAAAGATTCCCGCACACACTAGAGGGTTATGGTGAACACCGCGGCCTCTTGGATCATGCCCTCAACTGATTCGCTGACCTGGCAGCGCTGGCACTTCTCAAAGCTCGAAAGCTCGGCATGTGTATTTCCTTCGCCTCTGTACTGGACCTCGGTGGTGATGGGTCATCTTGCAAACCGTCGGGGGCGGGGGAAAGCGTACCTCATACAGTGGAAATGAGGAAACCAGATTTGGCAGAGACATTTGTTCTACACCCCTTGCATAGTTCGTTGCAGAAAAATTAAAAAGGCTTGCAGTAGAACAACTACTCGCAACATGTCACAGGGAAGGTGAGGCTTCTCCAGGCTGCCAAGGCAGTCCATCTTGAGGGGTCAACCAATTTATTGACGTTCGCTGGCTTTATTGTTGCATCAGGTTGCTGCAGCAAGGAGTGCACACTGCCGCAAACCATCGTTTCTCGTTCAAGCTTTCACCTACAACCTCGCCAAGCTCACCTGGGGCAAATTCAGATCTAACTCCCGATTGCTACTGAAGATTTCACAGTGTCTTTCATTCCGCCATATTCCGCCTTGATCACGTACCTTGCTAACAGGTCCCGGCTCACCATCAGGCTCTGTAGACGGACAAAACATCTGCAGGGGGAGGGGGGGAGCACTCAAATGCGCAGGTTTGATTGCCCGCACTGTACCTGCCAAATGAACCACATCAAATTGCACTTCTCGTCACGTCTTGCGGTCACAAGGAACCGGTCTGCATCAACTTACAGCTCAAGCATTTTCAGCCCAATATGGCTCAATCACACTATACCATGCCTGCTACGTTACGACATTGCACCTTTGTCAACGTCCCAGGCTTGCAACATTAACTCGAGGCAACTATTTACAAAACAGGTGCATGTTTTTGTCGTCTCTCTGAATGTCCTATAACAGCTGAGCTTCACCACCATCTCGAATATCTGGGAAGCATGATGAAGCATGTCACCTGTATGGAAGCGGTGGGGTAGCCCTCCATATTTCCGGATCCGCACTCCATCTCGCCTCACAAGCTACAGCTACAAGATGCTAAAGCGCTCCCCGCAGCAAGGTTTCTGCTACGGGGCAGGCTCTCGCTGTCTCAGAAGGTATTCCAACCTGCAGCTGAGATGAAGCCAATAACCCCTAACCCCAACTGCCGCAAGGACTAGTTAAGCACAGCAAATGAGTAGTAAATGTGTCTCCCTAGATGTACTAGCCAGTCCACAGACTCTGGCCAGTTCAGAGATGTCAGAGTTCAGCATGGAGGGTCACTGTGGGCGGTACTCTTTGATGCGCGCATCCTTCTTGGCAATCTCCACCTCCAATGAAGAAAGCTCTGCCCCGTACCTGCTCCCAGCGATGTGGGCAGTCGCACAATTCGATCAGGCCAGGCCTGTGACCACAAATAGCATGCGTGCAACGGAGATCGCGTGCCTCTTCGAACTGTCTGTCAGCTGCTGCTGAAGTACCTGTAACCTCAACCCCCAGCGCTTGTCGAGAGTTACCGCAGTCGGAACACGAGTTGCCGAACAAAGTTGCAAACAACGAGTGAAGGAGCTTGGCTGCCGGCCGCTGCTCGGTAGCTGCACACCGCTGCTCCCACTCCTAGGGCGGCTTAAATACAAATAGAGCTGTTCCAAGTACAATGTCCAATAACATGAATGAAGCTGCTGAACTAAACGGAAGCCTTGAACTGAGGCAACTTTCGCGGCAGCGTTGGATTAGCATGGCTTTGTCATGCTTTGTCACAGGTGGAAGGCCAAAACTTTAGTCTTCCCTGTTGAGTCACGCAGCGAAAACGTTCACTGAGCGCCAACTACTCAATAGCTACTCCAAACATAATCAAGGCTTGCTCAGGATGAGCCGGGTGCATCCAACTACCATATGCACAGAGTCGACAAGTCACCGATGCGACGGGGAAGGGAAACCATGAGGAGAGCATGAAGGGAGACAACAAACAAAATTCTGCAAAGGGCATCGCGCGATCGAATTCCAGAATGCAAGAGGGAGAGTAAAGGAGAATAGCGAGCGAAGACAGACAGGCACCAACAACACAGTTTGGCAACGGGCTCTGGCACACGATCTGGCAGCCAGGCCAGACGCTGCGGGAAACAAACAACAAAGATTACGAAAGGGAGAGCAACGTGGCACGGACACGATCCAGTTCCAGGCGGTGGAACACACAAGGAGGTGATGGAACAGGCAATGGCAAGACATTTTGAAGATAACATATCTGGCAACGGAACGCATCCCAAATCACAATGGTTGCTATGTTTCTTCTAAAGTCTTGACGAAACTCAACATCGCGCCCAATTCAAGAAATCCGTTTTCTGGAAGCAAGATGCAGCGCATGACTAGCCAAAGCTCCGCGAAAACCCCGCGCCAAGTCCGACATAGTTCTCACATCCGTTGGAATCCGTGGGCACAAACAAACACCGGGACCATGGGTTTTAGGGTCCGAAGGTGCGCACGATAAGGCGTGCTTAAGTTCCGTGAAAGGAAACTATTCTCTGTCAGAAACGACATGAGGCAATGGGGAACGATGAAGCAAAGACTCTGAAGGGAGACCAGAGCTGCAATTCGGCAACAGCCTGCGGTGGAGACAGGGCGACAAAAGAAGGAAGCACACGATCCAGGAGAAGAACGAGATAAAAGGAATATGACAGCAGGCACACTACCCCTGTTCTAGCGTAACTTCATTTTCAGGAAACATGGGGGCAAACCAAAGAAGCTTGGCGCATGTGCTGTCTGCACATTCTCCCTGCAAACACTGCTCATCACTGAAGTCTGACAGCTGGGTTGCATACAAATCGCTTCGCTTCCAAGTGTGCCAGCTGCTCCTGCCTGAATCTGAACAGCAAGTTCCAGCCAAGCTCGAAGCCAGTGGATGCGGTGCCAAAGGCAACAGGGAAATGCTCTGCAATGCTCTGTGCAGAGTGGAAGAAAGCTTTCCTTGAGGGCCCCGCTCGTCAGCTGACAAGGCCTGGGCGAGAACAAGGCGAAGCACGGCGACTCGACCAACCACCAGGATGCTCGGTCAAAGTCTATTGAGCGAAGCATGTTGAGCTTGAAAAGCTGATACTGCTGCGGAATGCTGCAGAGATTTTGGCTTCTGGCTGCAGTATCAGGTAAAGGTGAAGGCAGGACAGTCTCCTGCCGGGTTGCAGGACAAGCCTGACAGCTGCATTTCGACAACTCCTTACAATGTAGCACTTCTTTCCCGGCTTCTGTGATCATGCGAACCAAGCGTAATGCCGCACACCTACCCTTGTGATTGTTTTTTCACAAGCGTAAGCTTGCCAATTTGGTTATCGGCAAGAGTAACTTGAGCTAGACCCGCTAGCCCTTTTCAAATACACCAATTCTTGCACATCGATTCAAGTCCTCAGCCGTCTCCGCAGTGCTTGCCTTCAGGGCAGCTGCCTGATGCAGACTGGCCATGCAAGCGAGTGCGCAAAACGAAACGACATATAACACCCGAGCTCAGCAGCACGCAACTTTCTGAAGGCGGACGATCTCGGCATCCTTCTCTGCAAGTCGCTGCCTCAGCTCCTGTCCAGCACTTTTTTTGCTTCAAGGCTGGCCGAAGTACCGTCGAAGGCGGTTCCCACAGGTCCTGCGCTTCATCGTCTCCGGCTTCCCTCAACAGTTTTCAGGCACGCCATGGAAACTGTGTGACAGGTTTGGCAGGATGCACATCACGCCCCCCAAGATTGCCGTCCCCGCTGCTGTTGCTTTGATTCTTTGATTTATTCCCAACAACATCTCGGATGTTGGGTTCTCGTTTAGGTTCAGAACGCGAAAGAGCAATACCGGGGAATGGCGGCGCGGGGTAAAAGCGAAACGGGGATAAAACGAAGCGGGGATGAGAACGAAACGGGTGATCAGAGCCGCGGGGTGGAAACGAAACGGGGATGAAAACGAAAGAGGGATGGCGTGGGGATCAGAAGGGCCGGATGAAAACGAAACGGGTGAAAACGAAACGGGGATGGCACGGGGATCACGATGCGGGATGAAAACCTAACGGGGTTGAAACGAAACGGGGATGAAGATGAAACGGGCATGGCGCGTGGATCACAACGAGACGGAGCGAAAAGCGCCTGCGGGGATGAAAACGAAACAGGGATGAAAGCGAAGCGGGGATGAAAACGATATGAAACGCAACCGGGAGGGATTTTCGTTGAATGTATTACGGACTGCGGCGCGTGCTGCGGCGCGTGCTGCGGCGCGTGCTGCGGCGCGTACTGCGGCTCGAACTGCGGCGCGTACTGCGGCGCGTACTGCGGCGCGTACTGCGGCGCGGGAAGCTGAAGGATTTTCGTTGAATTGTAGTACAAATGTAGTACTGGGAGGACGGAGCCGGAGGGGCGCGAGAGCGGACTGCAGCGCGTATGACGGCGCGTACGGCGGCGCGGGAAGCTGAGGGATTTTCGTTGAATTGTATAGTACGAATGTAGTACTGGGAGGACAGAGCCGAAGGGGTGCGAGAGCGAGGAATGTCGGTGAATTGTAATAGTACTGGGAAGACAGAGCCGGAGGGGCGCGAGAGCGGATTGCGGCGCGTACCACGGCGCGTATGGCTTGACCTTGTGTTTTTGCGGGGGGCTCCCGAACTCGTGCTGCCAAGCTGCTTCTTTCGCGTGAGCAAGCTTGAGCAGCGTTCACCTTTAAGCTGCTAAGCTTCTCGGCGCTAAACAAAAAAAGCATGCAAAAGCAGGCGGGCAGAAACCCAGATCCTGCAGCCTTCTAGACTTTTGCCGCCCAATCACGGAGCTTCAGATTCTCGGTTTTCAAGCGCTCGATATCCACCTGGCCAAGGCCGGCAATGGGACCAGTGAAGAACTGGTCCGTACATGTCTGTACCAAGGTGCTCTCTTTAGCTGACGATTCAAAGCTACCCTCAATGAGGCCGCTTAGGGCTCGACATCGAAAGTTAGAATGCAATTGAGCCTAAGCTACTTCCACCCTGCTCCACCCTCCAGCATGGAAGTCAAGAATGTAGATGTCAGGCCGATACCTATATTCCTGCTGAAACGGTCTTAGCGAACACCAAGCGACGACAAAGCAACTATGCTGCTGCATTAAGTTGTTGAACCGCGCACCGACATTACATCCCAAGTTGATGCCCCTGTCCTTAGCTTTCTCACTCTCCGGTCACCCAAAACCGACCATGGAACTCAGTGCAAGTGCCACCTGCACCTTCTGCGCTTTCTGCACCTTCCGAGGGCACTGTCAATGTCAAGACATGTCAAGCGAGCGTAGATCACCAAGGCGATGCAAAAATCAAATAGGTGCCTCTTGCAACGAACTCTCTAGGATCTTCTCCAGCTTGGAGATGACCTCGAACCAGTAAGCATCTTCAGATGCCAAAGGCTTGGCTTCTCACCAACATGCAAGCGAGCAAGCGCCTTCTCCTGAGTTTTTGCTGTCTGGCGGTACGTGTCCAGCTTCCTTTCAGGGAATGCAACGCGGCGCATGCAAGCCCTAAGCCAGCAGGGCGACAGATGTAGGTGGCTTCGACAGTCAAGGTTCTATCTAGACTTTTATGGACTTTGCATGACTTTGCGGCATCCGTACACCTGTTGTATAGCCGGAACCGTCTCTCTCTCGCTCTCTCTCTCTCTCTCTCTCTCTGATGTCGCCTTCCCTCGTCTTGAAGCCGCTGCAATTCTCGGTTCTGCTCTAGGTGCACCTGTTGGAGCCTCAGCTGGCTGCTTTACGTCTCAACATCCGCAGTCAAGCTCACCGTGCAGTCGTTCGGATTTCGGCACCCAGCTCTTCCAAAGATCGTTCCAACCCGCGCGCACGACTCACCTCCCAATCTCCCAAGTTCGGATGCAGGTCCACGCTTAACCGCAGGCTGCATGAGGAAGGCTCAGAAAATCTAAAGATGTGCCTCCTTCAGCGCGTCTTCCATGCGTCGGGTCAGTTCGGAAGCCTTCGCCTGCTACAACATATCCCAACAAGCTTCAACAATAACGAAAAAGCAAAATCATTGCACAAGGGGAGTGGGGACAGAATGGCACGGCAGCCCTGTGCACGTGAGCCTTCTCCTCGCGATATTTCTCCAAAGTGCGCTGGAGCTTTCCGGCCAGTTCCTGAGTGCAACACATGGTCAGAGAGAAGTCCACCTATGCTATTCTCGAGAAAGCACGAAACGAAGGAGCGCGGGGCATTCGAGGATGCAGCTTCTTAATGCCATTCTGTGCTGATGCTTGCGCTTGCCGCAATTGGTGAAGCAGCAGGCTTGAAGTGTCGCAGCTGTGGACTCCAAGGCAAATTCTGAAGTTGCTTGGTTGGCTGGTTAGCAACTTGCCCGCGCTGCTGCCGCTACTGGCGCTGCTGGCGCTGCTGGAGCTGCTGGAGCTGCTGGAGCTGCTGAAGCGTCCGGAGGACTGAGCTCTTACAACGACCACTGCTGACTTGCTGTAAAAACTGTGGACTTTTCGTCCTGGAACGGATCTGCGTAAGCAACCTGCGCCTGCTCTTCATAGGAGTTTTTCATAGTTTTTCGGTGGGAAGTTGATTGCTTTAGGATTTCCCCTACGTGTATAGATTTTGGCTTCGGCTACTCGCCATTCGCTTGACAGCAAGGCTCATGGGACCTTATTTCGCAGTTCCCAGGGATCGCAGCTGTGACGAGTCCGCTTGGCTGGTACAGAATGGCCTCCGGCTCTTGTTCTAGCATGCCCGTTCGGTTTTCACCAACGACAGACAATCCCACACTCGGGACCTTTGCGCTCGTTCGGGCGTTCAAAGATTCTGTGTCGCAGCTGTTACCAGAGTTTGTGCTGCTCTTTCGAATCCATGGGAGACAGCCACCAGAAAGACTAAGAGTCACACAGCCGCGCTCAGCTTCTCCAGGCCTCCGAAGGACATGGGCACAAGAGCTCCACACAAAAATGCTGGGGTGGCGAGGATTCGCAAACAGCCTTCTGGCGGAGGGCGTTGTTGGACCTCTTGCACCTCAGGCGGGGACGTTCTAATCTTTGGCACGTCGCCTGCATGTTTGCAGTAGGACCTTGTCACCCTGACTAGAGTCTGACTAGAGGCAGGGTTGCGACCACCAAGTTGGTTCGATGAGCAGCCACAGGTATGGAATGAGCAAATAAGGGCTGAGCCAACTTTTCCTGGCAAAAAAACTTCTGAAGACGAACTTTCGTATCAATGCATGGGAACATTATCCCTGGCCAGTGAAGCATTGACAGGCATACCAAGGTCCTCATCCTCCACCTGTGCCCGGAGAGATCGGTTCTCGTTCTTCAAAAGCTGAACCTGCCTGTCTCGGTCTGTTTCAGGCTGGCTTGGCTTGGTGAGTCAAAACAGCATGCTCGAGTTTGCGTAACGCCATCTGCCAACTGACGGTTTTTCAACCGCCTATTTAAAGGACTGGTCTCGGTTGTCAGGTTTTGTGCAGATGTGCATTCACTCCTGCGCAGGGTCACAATCTCCTCGCCAGCTCGCTTGAGTGCCGCCGCTCGCAAGTTGAACCTTCATGGTGAGACGCGTCATGCGAACTCAAACTCATTCAACCTGTATGACTCTATGTGCCTGTAGAAAGCTGAGGAAACCACTCCTTGGACAGCTGCACTGAGAGCTCGTGATTCAGCCTGTCAGGCTCGTTGCAGATCAGCTGTCGCAATGCCGATCAGCTTGCACCACTGCGCTTCGTGAGCCTGAAGTCCTGCACTTCCTGAGCCAGCAGTCCAGTCAGCACAAACTTACCTTGCTAGGGCGATACGTTCTTCTGATGCTTTGTGGCTTAGTTCCCAGCGGATGGTGCTACTGTTCCAACGGTTCCGGCAGCCAAAGCCACGGCGGGAGCACTTGTCGAAACAGGCCTCAGCTCCGACACCACTCGAAAGATCTCGAAAGCCTACCGAAGACAACCGAAAAGGGCACCAGGGGAATGGCTTGGGTCCATCCGCACCCGAGCTTCCACGAGGCCAGACCTTGCATCCGTTGACCGATCAAAAACTATGCGAAAGTCGATCTCTGGCTGCAACACGCTGCATTCTGCACTTCGCTTGGTGCACGTTGCATGCACGTTGAGTGTATGTTGCTCGTTCGATCAATCATGGTTGCTTGATCATATCTGCCGACTCACGACATGGTTTCACAGTTTGTGCAGCTGGTCCCAGGAAAGCACTCTGGCTTCGATCTCCAGCGAAGTTGAAGCACCAGGTGCCTCGTGATTGCACCGGGTACAACTGTAAAGCGCGTGTCTTTGCACTCAGCCCTCAAACCTCCAACAGCCGAAGGTCCAGAAGAAAGGACCGCGACATGGGCTCTGACCTGCACTCCACGTTGCAACAAGGCTGGCTTGATGGGACCGCACAGCTTGGCTGGGGCCAAAACCCTACAAGGGAAGAGGCATCCAGAGACGAAAAGCCCATCAGATTCCCACTGAGGGGCATGTCTGGGTCCTGCAAGAGGCACAAGGTGGCAGCAGGCTTTGGTCAACCCTAGTCGCACATGTCACAACTCCACTTCAACCATGTCGTAGGACCATGTGACCATGGATGCTCAAAATATTCAGAGTTCTTGAGTTCACATTTACAGTAGCTCTTGGCCGCAGCATGTACATTGAAGCAGGAACGGTGGGCACTTGTGTTGTCAACATCATCAGACGGCACAACGCTCCAACACCATCGCGGTCCGCTCTGACACCCCGGCACTCGAAGAGCAGAATTGCCACGGCTTTCAGTGCTGTTGTCGAGGACATGCAGCGCAAGAGGAATTGCCTGGCCACTTCTATTTGCTTGCACCGAGATTTCACGCTGTCGACTCAAACCGTCCGTAGCTGTCAGCTGCAACGAATGAACAATGGTCACATGTCCACTGCTTATCTCACTGCTTGCAGCATCATCAAGGGCACGCTACAATTTAGGCAGCAGAACCCCCACTGAGGCGTACGAGAGGCACCTGGCAGGGGGATTGGGTGCATGAGCGAAACTGTGCAGCCACTTTGCGATCACACCGGCCCGGCTCAAGCGCGCCGGACTCAACTCACACTCCCAGAATGGTTTACCGAATTTTGACAAGCCGTGTGACAAATGAGCATGGAAGGTTCATGTCAACAGTGCCCTGCTTAGTGCTCTAGAAGCCTTGTCCTTTTCGTCACAGGCCGCTGGTCTGCCGCCCTGACCCCTGTTTTCATTTGCTGATTGAGATTTTAAGTCTCTCTGCTTTTCTCGCAGCATGTCACGGTGCTCAGAAGGTCTTTGGGTTGCTTCTGATTCTGCGAGCGGCGTTGGCGGCTTAATGCGGCTTATGTCACTCTTGTCCCAAAGAACAGCTATCACTGAAGCCGAAGTGATGTCTAGAGCAACTATCTGCACGTTTCCTCAACCTTCCGTCTGCATCCTGCAAGTACGGGTTATGCTGTAAACTGCCATCTGCAGTTCGGCTTATGTCTTTGCACATGTTCGCGTGCTGTTTTGCCCTTGCTTGTTCGAAGTTGCTGATGATTTTTGCAGCGTGGCTTTTCCCGTGAGAATCTACCGCACATCTTCATCGACTTACGTGCTCTTGCTTGCGCAGCTCTTCTTAGGAATGTATGTTGTTGACGTGAACGTCTGCTGCATGTTCTTGCTTCTGCAGTTCCTATGTGCTTCTTGAAAACAAGCGTTGAAAATTTGGATCTGGTTCATTGCCTAAGGGCCTTAGGTCTGAGGCTGGGAACGGTTGTAAACTGGCCTACACACCTCCAAGCCATGGCTGCGGGCCTGACAGCGGCGTCAGGAAGCAGCGCAGCTGAGAGCCAGCACTAATGAAGTGCTCGTCAAGGAAAGCGGAAAGCTCCTTAGCTGAACACTCATAAAGATAGGAACTATGGCGTTTGAAAGCATCATCAAAACTGGAAAGCCCACTTATTCAGAAATGTGTTGATGTCCTGCTTCTTCGCCGTGCAATTGCGTGAAAGCAAACCAACTGTGGCACAGCTACTTCTGCTTGGAGCTCAGGCACTCGGAAACAGACAACGAAGTCACAACTTTGCAGCTCGAAGTGCAGTATGAAGAAATGGTGTTGCAACTCAGAAACGACATGCATTTGGCAGCTGAATGACGAAAACGAAACAATTAATTACCCGCTCGCAGTGTCCTCCTCCAACACCAACCCTGATGCCCCGCCCGCCCCCCGCGACACTCCGGCCAGGATACTGGAGTAAGGTGCAAGCAAGGTGCGATTCGTTGATCGTAGAGATACGTTGCCACAGGTACACGCAAGTCGCGGGTGTCCGCACCTACAGACGACCTTGGAAAAACGGAGAGGTCGATAGATTCTGCTTGATGCTTTGCTGAGGCCGGGAAATCTCGGAAACCAGCTCTGGGCAGACCGCCACAAGAGCACCCTCAACCAAATCAGGAAGAGGACGACCATGAGGCACTCCATGGACCTCACAGAAAGGGCAGGACAACAGCAACGGCCACACTTAAAATTTTGTAGTTCTGACACTAAAATGTGCTCATCACTGCTACATCCATCTACAGACTTTGCACCAAGTCTCGCACCCTAATCTCCAGGCCGTGAGAGACACCGCCTCCCAGCGAATCCAAAACCTGTCGGGCCAACTGAGCAGGCAATTTTAGGCAAGGCCCGGTCAGGTTACTCAGTTTGCGTGTATCTGCTGGTTGTAGATGGTGTGCCAGCTGTACTCTGCACGTAAATCCATCAACAGTTTTCTGCAACAAGGGATTGCCTCGTGGCCGGGCTCACGCATCATGGAAACCTGCAGAGGAACACGGAGCTCGGACTGCGACTGTCGAGCTAGCCAAAATACACAAGACTCAGGCAGCACCGGTTTTGTGGTTGCTGTTCCCACGCATGCCGGTGCCGTCTCTGCCCTTTTCCCTATCCCTTTTTCTACAAAATCTCGGCCCCGCGCTAGGAGCCCTGGCCGCGGCCTCGAGGCGCTAGTACTGGCAGCGGCCCTCACAGCAGACTCGGCGAGAGGTGGGTTGGCCGACGGTGACTGGACGGCTGCAGTTCAGGATATGTTAGACAGAGAGCACTTGGCCTGGCATGGAGGTGGATGGGATTGAGGAAGGGAAGAGAAGTCGGTGACCTAGCGCCGTGCATATCAGGCATATCATCCACTTGCTTGTGCCCGCAGGCTACTTCCGTGGATGCCAACAGCATCTGCGCACGTAATTACGAGATGGTAGTAATATGTACAAGCACAGCTTCAACTCCGGGATCCTTGCCATTGGAGATTGAGCCTCGTGAGATACCCACAAGGGGTCGAGTGTACAGTACAGTGCATCACATCACAGCACACCACGCAAGAAACACTCTGAGGATGATGCAGAGAATCGGTTGCAGCACCATCCGGTGTTGCAGAAACCTGGTAGGGCAAGGGTGCTCGAGCGCTCCAGATATAATTGAGAGGTGAACTTTGGCAGTCGCTCACGCTGAAGGTATCAACCGCTAGGAAAAAATGTTCTTGCGGGTAGAGTAGGTATGTAGAGAGAGCGAGAGAGACAGACAGAGAGAGAGAGACCCGTGTCGAAATGCAGGAGCGTTGCCAACAGAGTTTGGGATCAACTGGGATTGTTCTACATTCAATGACGGGCCTACGGGCCCACATGGCCTTCTGCCCGCACTTCCGCAGCTTCTGCGTGTGGGACGGGCTTGACTATACACAGCCATGACGCAGCTTCTGCGCGCGGGGCTTTTGCCTCATAAAACCTCATGGGGTCACCCACACGCGGTTTCCGCTCGGACTTCCGCAGATTGGGCGCGCCAGGTAAAACATGCCCGAAACCCAAGTTCGGCCCGCCTGTAATTTCATGGAGCCACAAGAGAACGGGGCTTAAAACAACTCCCAACTAAACTGCACCACACGTTTAATGATTTTAATTTGAGAATAAGCCCGAAACCATCTCCAAGGCGAGGCCGACTTGCAACCTGGCGGAGGTACAGGCCTAATGATGCCTCTGGCTTTACCATGGTACCTTTATGTACCTTTCTCTTCAAGCTCGCAAATCATCGCAAATCTTTCAATTGCCATGACAGCTCCACCCGGAGTCTAGCGAGGCCGGCAGCGGCAACACAATCTCCTGGTTGAACCAAACCTGCACGCTGATTTGCAAAGACTCGGCTCATCTCGGCTCTTCAAAGCCGCATGACATCTTCACTTTTGTGTGATCATCTCACAGATCTCACCTCTCCGGCATTTGCGGTCACCGGCTCCACGGGCAGGTTGCGAGAAGCCTTGGTCAAGTGATGTAAAATACAGCCTCTTGCTCTTCGCAGCTGCACTGCGGCTGCCATGCATCCGGGCCGATGGCCAACTCCTGCAGCACATGGCCTCCCGGCTGCAGGAGCCTACAGTGAACTGCCACCAGCAATTCTGGGCAGTTGTTGCCAGCAGCCGAATAGCAGGACCGACAGCAAATCAATGAGGCACGAGCCTTGCAGCCACACGGACCACGGCCTTCGCACTCGTTTCTGGCACCTGAATCCCAGAGCCGTTGCCAATGGCTGCATCCACTTGCCAGCACTCACACTCATCGCGTTCCAAGGGCATGGACTGGAAGTGCATCAGCTCGGTGCACAAGAACATGAAGCCGGCTTTCGAACGGCCTGCAGCTCATGCTGAATGATTCCAAACTGAAGGGGCTTTGCAAGACATGGCCTCGTCTGCCAGAGCGACTTTTCCAAGGAAGGTGCCACAGCTGACGCAACTGTGTGGGCTTTGTCAATCCTGATGAGCCGAAGACGAGGGCTCACGTGCAACCAGTTCTTTCCACTGGTATGGGTAAGGAGTCTTGCTCTAACGGCTGCCGATGAAAAATGCTGAGTGCAAAACCCAGATTCTGGTGGATCAGAGCTCAAGGTTTTCACCTGCCCAGATGAACATCGGCGAGCCATTTAACTTTGCACAGTCAAGATGAACTTGGGAGGAAACTCCAACAGAAGCTCGCAAACAAGTCAATGGCCACTACGACAGCTACGTTCTATTCGCAAGTGTGTTTACATAGCTCAAAATACGAAGATCATTTTTGTGGTTTGTTTTTGCGCCTGTGCTTTTGTTCGAGGGGGTGAGGGATTCAAGGTTTTGTAGCTTCTTAGCTTGGCTTCGCGTCTTTGGTTTTGGTGTCTGGGGGAGGGGAGTTTCAAAATATACAGGGTAAAAAGTTCTCTCATTCACATATGGGAAATAGCGCCTTTATGAATATCTAGAGGAAATACAAGTTATTCGTTTTCGAACGAGACAGAAGCTTTGTCTTGAGACATTGAAAACGAGGTTCTCATGGTCAAACGCATCGGAAAGAATCCCTTTCGAAAATATGGAGTAAACGGAGGTTTGGTACTCAAGTACGCAGGACATGTCAGATGCTTGTCTGAAACATTCAAATTTGTGGCAAGTCCTGTCAGCAACTTAGCAGCAACATGCCTTTCCCCGTGGCTGACATTGAGATTCTAGATTGCCAGTGGTGATTCAAGCTAAGTCATACATTCTATGTACGCCCCACTTGTAAACCAACCAACTGTAGAAAGGGTATGTGTTGAAGGCACCTGAGTTCAGATGAATTCTCGATAAAAACTACCCCTCTAAATATAGTCAGGGAAATTCTTGAAAAAACGGCAACATTCAGCCCTTCACTCTATACAAACGAAATTGAAGACTACAATCTTGCTATGTAACTCCTGGAAGGTTTCACAACGCAACGGTCAAGCAGCGCGAAATATTCGACATTGGTTAAATTGAGTAAGTGCATTCTCAATTTATACTAAAGTTTCAAATTCACATGAAAAGTCAACTTCTGAAGCGTGAAGCTTAATGAAGAGAATTTCGGTTGCTGGAAGGTTCCAACATCATATTCATGTGATCAAATTAAGCCCTCAATGGTTTCAACTAAGAGACGGCCAAGTACGGCTTCAATGTTGCCAACTCTTGATCAGCCCAGAAGGCAATGCTTCAATCAGGGCGATCAGCTCACAGCATTCACACATGCCGATGTCGTCTCGATGTTATTGAAAACAAACACTTGGTAAGGTTTTTGCAACGTGTGAAAGGCTGCCGGGTCCCTCAAGGCAAGTTGGGAGGTATCTCTGATCTACTTTGCCACTCAGGGAACTCTTCCAAGTAAAAGTGCCAAATGGGGCTTTCAGTTTACTGAACATTTAAGACCCCGATTTGATCCACCCCCTCCCACCCTTCATTGCAAATTTGCACGTCCTAGAAGTTTCCATTCAGACTACCGCGGCCTGCTCTACCCTCCTGTCGGACCAAAGTTGGATGACACATCGATCACTATCACCTGCAGAATCCAATGCTATTGAATCTATTGCTGCCAGTGCTACGAGAAAAGCTCCAAGGAGCTGGCAGAAACACCCCAAAATAGAAGTTGGCGACTCAGACTCAGCAAGCCCTGTCACTGTGCAAACTTGCACCCGGCCTGCATCACGAGGGTGGCACGACCCACCACCAAGTGCTTTCCTGTCAGTTTCAGCTGTCTGTATTTGCTGCTTGTGTTTGGGCCGGCATGAATGAACATTCGTGGGTCATGAGTCGTTCCTTCTCCACCCTCGGTCACACGGGTGAAGTTCACCTGCGGCGTGGGAAACGTCTCTTGAAACCAACCCAGGATGGACGAGAAGCTCTGTTCTAGACCAGGCACATTGCGTGTAAGGCGCTTCGACGTGGTTGCGTGCTCCGCAACCTCCACATCAGCAACGATCAACGCTTATCCATCATATTCCATCATATCAAAGTTAGGTTCTTGGGGAGGTGCTCCTGAAAGAAAATTGATCTAGAGAAGCTTCCCAGTTTTTGTCCTCGCATGCCTGTGGCAAATTGTCAGGCCCCAGCTTACGGCGCCTGCTGCCTCTACTCACCGTGATGTTCCACACAGGTCGTGTCAGGGCTGACACGGCACTCTCACGTCGGCCACCACAACTTCATCACGTTGCCATACCCCGCTGCTCTCTTCCATTTTCTTCATTCTCTTTCCCCCTTCTTCAAGACATCGCGTCATCGCTTGTGGCCATCAGGCCATCAGGCCATCCGGCCAGGTCATCGGGGAGCGCCGAATGAAGCCCAAGGTGACCAGGACTTTCAAGGACCTCTTTCACCGCTTACCTGGCAGGTCTTGGGGCATGTGATGGAATGTGTGTGAAAGGGAAAAGCTTGCCACTCGCCCTCACAATAATTTTCCCCAGGCCGGCAGCACGCCGACCCTTGGACCGCGATCGCGAACGCCTGGGCCGAGAACTGCGTGCGGGCTTGCCCCCGGTTCAGCAATGCACTTCCCTAGCTTCCGTGGGATGGGACCCAGGGTCATCACGGAATGCTGCTGAGGATGCAGCTTCTTTTTTGAAGCTGATGTGCCTCAAGCGACAGTTCGGTACAAGCTCATGATACCCAGCCGTGCACGGATTTGCCCTGAGGTATGCGCTGGAACTTCGGCGTTTCTTCTCCTTGTTCTTGTCCTTGCCATTGTCTTCCTTCTTCTCCTTGTTCTTGTCCTTGCTATTGTCTTCCTTCTTCTCCTTGTTCTTGTCCTTGCTGTTGTCTTCCTTCTTGTCCTTGCTCGGCTTCTTTCCCTTGCCCTCCTTCTTGTCCTTGCTCTCCTTCTTGTCCTTGGCCTTGTCCTTGTCTTTTGCCTTGTCTTTCTCTTTACCAGCCTTGAATTGCGGGAGCCGTTTTGAAAACTTCAGCTGCTGAACTGGAACAAGAAGCTTCTGTGATTTTGCGCATCTCCGTCCTCTTTGCTGGTCTTCCGGGGCTTGCTATCACTGCTGGAACCTTGGTCATGTTTAGTCTTCAGGTCAACTGGTGGCCTCATTTAACATCTACTGGCTCAGGCAAGCGCGCTTCTTGCGAGCGCTCCGACTGCGTCGCCGATCTGCTGTATCTGGCATGTCGCGGCTGTCCCGTTCAGAAAACCCACGAAACTGGAACCTTCGCAAATCGCCATTGCAGCATCTGTCTCGGAATTCCTAGCACTGTGAAATTTGGGGGACCGAGGAAAACCCTTCCTTGTCCATGTTCGCCTAAACTCTCACTCAATCCGCCAGAACATGTTTGGAGGCCAATGGCCAATCGGCCCTACACCTTCCCTGGCCTAGTGCCGAGTGCCAAACTGTTGTTTTGGGGTTTGCGGAAGGGCCTGCAGATGTTTTCGCCACTTCCTTCACCTGCTGGCACACGTAACGTCCCCCAAGTGGCACGAAAGGGACAAAAAGGTCCCGAAGAGAGCAGCTGGCCTCCTTCTTGCTTGCTTTTCGACTTGAGCTGCTACTGCTGCTGCTGCCGCTGCTGCTGCTTCCGCTGCTTGCGCCTTAAAGACGGAAAAGGGTCAGAACAGGTCTCTGGCCACCTCTGAAGCATAAGCGGCATAAGCAGAAGCCCTGGCTCCACGGCAGCACTCCAAAGCCCCTGACGTCGTCCCTTGCTGCTTTTGCCAATTTTGCTTCCTGAATGGAAAGAAGACTTCGAGACGTGTCCAGAATTGTTTGTGTGCAGCTTGTAGATTCTATGAGTAGACATTTCTAGACTGATGTGCAATTGACGGTGTGCGGTATCTTGTGAGGGCGCACCATCGGAACCCCAGCTGTTCGCTGCTTCTTCCAGTGCCTGATCCACATGCGGAGCACATCAGCTTGAATTTGCCCCAGCTGCGTACAGTACCCCGGACTTGCAGGCAGTGCCTTCTTCTGCTTTCCACTAAAGAGATGCAGGTTGGCAGACAACATGGCCTCAAAGGCATGAGAAATTACCGTGGTCATGGGGTTTTTGCAGGGCACATCACGAAAGTGAAGGAAGCCTTCAGCTTGCTCCGGTGAGTGGCTTCGCTGGGCACAAAAGCCTTGTGCTTCATGACCTTGGGCTGATTTGGGCTGTGCCATGCACGTCATGCAGCGTGCTGACAGTCGGATCGAGAATGGCAGACCTCGACTGAGCTCGGCACCTCGTAAAGTGCAGGTGCCTGCTTGCGCAAAAGAAAAAGCCCTCATGAATGGCAGCTGTTCGAGCGGGTACGTCGCGCGTGTGCCGCAGGGATTGCTGCGTTTTCTGTTGGTATCGATTGCCAACGAAGTGTGCGACAACGGTTCTGTGAACTATCAACGCCCACGAGACCGTCTTGACATCTACAGTCTGTTGTCCATTGCAACACGTCATCCGGCATGACCTTGTGGAAAGGGCTTGTTGCAAGCAGAACTGGATTTGTTACAAACCCTTGTCGCAAAAAGGCCGCCCAGGCCTCTTACAAACACAGGGCTCTTGACTTGTTCCCACGTTGGTAGAATGATGGAACCTGCCCTTTTTACTCGAGGCCCACCTGAACTGGTCCGACAAAGCTACCACTTTCAGCAGCTAAAGAACCGACAGTTGTGACGTGATTGATCTGTGTCAGGCGGCCTTTAGCTTCCCTTCAGCCGCTTGCATAAGGGCCATTTGCAGCCTCAGATCTCTTCTCACTGAGCCATGGCACCCCAAGCAACATCCAGCAACCCAGGACCCTCGCCAGTCCACGCGGGAGTCGCTTTCCATGCTAAGGACGAACCTGAGACGTGGTAGACTCATCCAGTTTAGCAATGATTAGAAAGTCAGCAGATCTTGCAGTCTCGCTTCATACGACGAGAGACTGCCACAACAACTGTGCTTCAAGCCCTCGTCCGCACATGAGACCCTGGCTCTGGCTCAGTGTTGATCAGCTCCTCACTGTCAGATTCGTCATCTTCAGCAGGTTTTTGCCTGAACTCAGCACTCCGGGCGCCACGATGGCAATTGTGCCATCGACAATTCAGGCAGAGGACGGCCGCGGCTGCCGCCGCGCTGTCACCTCTGCATCCAGCAGCCGGTCGTCTCGGCGATTTGGATTGAAGCCTCGAGACATGGAAAAAATGGAGAGTTGGCAAAGCCCGGGCAAAGCCCTGGCCCCTTTAGAGAATGTTGACGAATCCTGAACTCCGACATGAGCCAGTTCAGACACGAGCCGACCATCGGGGGTCGGCTGGCACAGGACCAGTGAGCAGTCGAAAAGGCAAGCGATCAACTTCTGAGGCACTTTCTACACCTGAAGTGGAACGCAGGAATCTCATTGCTGCCAAGCCACGAGCATTGCGCTTGTTGTTGTTGACCTGGTCCAGCCCAGCAAAACGAAGCTCAGGAAACTTTCAGGAAACCCTGATGCTTCTGAGCTCACAGCCCATGCCATGACCTCGTAGAATCATGAACAGGACGCAGCCTGGCTCGAAGAGCTTGGCAGCGGCATCAACAACATTGGGCAACAGGACAACAAGGACAACACAAAACCACTTCGAACTCGGTGTCCGGCCTGTAGCTCGTCTGCGAAAGCAAGACACTCAATTCATGCGCCGCAGGTGTCGAGTTGTGAGCAGTTGAGCCGAATAGTTCTGCTATGTATCTGCTTGTTTTTCAACAGTCTGTACTACCTCGCAGGACAAGCATCACACCTACTACGCAAGTGCCTGCCGAAGCAAGACGAAAGAAGAGTGAAGGGAATGAATTCCGCATGGATGCTTCTTGAGCAATCTCAGGTTCTGCAAGCTTGGCGAAGTCTGTGATGTGTAGAAAGTTGAAACAGCTGATGGTGGAGCCCCTTGGACTCTCGAGCCAAGCAGTGCTTCGAACATTTCATGACTTAGCAGACTTAGCACTAGCTGTCTGGCACCGCAAAGCAGGAACCTTCAGTTCTTGGAGGGACAGAAAGGCCGTCCCAAGCAATTTTGCCTTGGTCAACAACGGTCAGCAACAAGCTTGATGTCACCAAGCACATCCCACCCATCCAAACCGGGCCCTCTCCCAAACAACGTGATCCAAAAAAGCTTGGATTCCCAGAAAAACTAGATGGTCCCTGCTTTCCCAAAGACCCCACTCGGCCCTGCAAATCTGATACGCCCTCGCCCCCAACTCGGACAACAAAAACTCACAACGTGTGTTTCCAGATGGCCCAGCCCGCCCAATCTCGTTTCCCTCATCACTTTGAAGAGTGGCCTGCTTGGTCTTTCTCCACAACCAAAACAAGGCGTGGAGCACCATGCAAACTTGGGATATGGCTGTAGGCAGCCCCGAAGCTGAAGGATCCAGCACATTGAGAAACGCAGATACCTCAACAGCTTCAATGCTGCTGTTCGCATCACGCGCGACTTGGGAGGCCTGGAGCTTCTCGTCTGCAAAGTCCGTGCCGACGGACAACCTTGGGCAGAGCTCAACAAACGACAGTGAGTCGTGGCGCCTAAAGCTCTACATGCAGCCAAACTGTGGAATTTCTTAGAACAACCCCTGTTTCCATTATTCTCAAAAGGCAAATTATTTCCTCTATGTATCTGACTTGGAAAACCTCTGTGGAAGCTTCCATTTCCTCTAGCAAAACCTCTATTGTCTATTGCTTTCTTCACTAGGACATCGGGCAACCTGCACGTCGTCTCCCTACCTAGACAGCAAAAGCCCTGAGCTCGAAAATCCAAGAGCCGCAAGAGGGCAAGAGGGTCTCCCGAAGCAGAGCCAAGTAAGCCGGCAAGCCGAGAAAGGCTCGGATCCAAGCCCGTACATTGACTGATATTGGCTGGTGAATGTGACGGTGGGTTGTGATTGTATACTTTTGTGACTAGTGTTGTGATAAATATCTCATGATCAGCTAGTTTGCAGCTCCTCCAGTGATGTTCCAACATGCACACAGCTACCCCACTGCTTGCATTTCAGAGGCAGAAGGCTGGAGTTCGCAAAGACGGGTCGCTCGGAGGGCGGTGAAACATCCGTGCAACGCCTGGGGCAAGGCTTGCCAAGAACGTGTTCTGGACCGAGGCAGCAGGTGCCACCGACTGAGTAGAGAGCTTCTCGGCGTGACCTTCAACTTGGACTTCCAAGAAGTACGCGAAGGCACCTAAGGGATGTCCCGGCTGATTCCGTGGCTTCCTAGCTGAGGGGTGTACAGCATGATCTATACTGATCAGATTTTTCACGTGAGCTGAATTTGTGAAGAGAACGTCAATGAGTTAATGAGTTTTGGGCTTGCGACACCAGCTGCGGAGGCAACAGCTCTCGGATGCGCACTTGCAAACTCGCATTCCCCGACGACAATGTCCAGAACCCAGCTTCTTGCAGTCGGCGCCCCCTGTCAGAGTTGTCATGTCGGCTGGCGGCTGGCCCTCTAACAGAGCAAGCAGCGCGGGTATCATGAGCCTTGCCGAGGGCTTCGTTTTCCTTTCGAAGCTGAGCCATTGCCTAGACGTGCATGCTGAGCGCAGGATCGAGAGCCAGAGTCAGGGACCGAGGGGACAAAAAGGGCGGCAGAGACTTCTGAAACCTTCGTAGAACGTCCGAGTCTTATCAGCCGTTCACCTTCTCACTCTCGGCCAGCTGCAACTCCAAGGCCTCAAGAGACGAGTACAGAAATCACGAACGCTAAAGGCCAAATCTCAATAGTGCAAACCCCCCCACAAACATTCCAAGTACAGTAACCAACGCCGTAACACCAGAGTCTGCCGACAGGACCGCAGCCGGCGCAAGCTTTTTCGGATGTCGCTTGTTGGATTTTAAAGCCTTGATTTTGAAAGCATCTCAGGCGCTGCCCCCAAGGTCGGGCTCCGCCTGTCAAGCTCTCCAGAAGGGCGACTACTGCTTGCAGCTACTGCTTGCGGCTACTGCGTGCGGCCACGAAGGGCTACTGCCAAGCTACAAAAGAAATGCGACTGTGAAGCACTCCATAGCACTCCATGGCACTCCTGCCCGCCTCGGCACTGGCCGCAGCGAATGAAAGGAGCCTGACATCACGTGACAACCGTAATGTGCTGTCATGCGGTCAAGTGTCCTAGCGAACTGCGAACAGACACGAAATGAGCAGAACCACCTCCCACAAACTGTAATCACCTGTGAACTCCGCTGCTGTAAGCTGCGAGTTGATGTTTTGCCAGTTCGTTTGGTCTGAGATCTGCAGCGATGCCATGACACGCAGCGCCGCGCGGGTGTCAGCACGGAACACAGAAACACGGACTCTGAAAAGGATTCAATAGGCTTCAGCTGCCGGCTGTGGGGACTCGGAGCCCAGGCGTGACTTCGAATGGCTTCGAAACATGCGAACGAGCGATCTCACAACACCTTCTCTCAATCACTCGTGGCTAGGAACGGGCCTTGCACCGGCATGACTCGCTCCAGCTCGCACATGGCACGAAGGCAAAGCTCCTCCCTCCAAGGCAGCGCCACCAATTGCAGAGCAACTGGTAGTCCAAGGGAATCTTGCACCGCACGGGTCACCATCTTGGCATCAGGCGCTCAATGGCGGAACAATTGTCCACGTTTACGGTATCATGATAGTCACGGGCCACGCTTGCTGCGTCCAAGTGAGCGGCCCTGGAAATGTGAGGATTCTCGATGCCTGCATCATATGGTTCCTTCAAGTCCTGAGTTGACACGACCAAATGTTGACTAAACATCCTTGCATCACTCTCGGCTTCCAATCCTGATCAACTTTTGTGCATCAGCAAGCCAAAATGTATGCTTGCAACGGCTCCGCGTCTTGGACTGTTGTCACAGTGACAGCACCAGCAGGCATGTCTAGCACATTGAAGATTCGCGTTGAGATCGTTGTCTGCACCTCAGAGTCTCAAATGGCTCTTCAGGGCCTGATTTAAACTGGGTCATCCAAAAACATCAAACTGGAGTGATCAGAATGCTTGCAGTTGCTGCGGCATGTTGCGGCAGAGGCGCCGTGTTTCTGACCTCTGAGATCAAGATTTCAGCCCTAAATCTCTCAGTGCTTAGTTTACTGCAAAATCTGCGACGAGCCCTGTCCGACCCCTAACTTGATACACTCCCTTTGCTGATTACGTAAACCATCTGCAAATACTCAACACCGGCTGCATACCATGCTCTCAGCAATGCAGAACACGCTACGAATACCACACAGAAATCGCAGCAGCAACAACATCATCAGTTCGCGCCTCCTCAACATGCGGAGCAGGAGTAGGATACACCGGGCATACCAGCACGTCCAAACGGGCCTTCTGCCAGGCCTGCCAATGAAGAGAATTCAAGGTGAGTAGATCTGGTTAGCTGGAGGGAGTCATATACGAACTGAGTCATCCAGCTCGGGCCTCATAAAACCTGTCTCGTAGAACGTCGCCTTGGCAGCAATTTCACTGACTTACGCCGCCGATCTTGAATCACTGAAGTGAAAGCCTCTGCAAGTCATGACAAAACTACGAGTAGGGAATTCTTGATCATGCCACTGACGCTCTTTGTGCGCGTGTGTTCCCGGGACAATTGAGGTACTTGCAAGGATGAAGCCGTTCAGTACTTGAACTTTGTTCTACATTTGTGTTGAAGCATCTACATAGCGCACCCGCTTTGTCATCATCTTTTTATTTTGTTGGCGTTGAAAGCGAGTGCTGTAGTAAGATGCCAAGCTGAGCTGCGTCTGTGCATGATTCGCTCATAGCCCAGGCAACTGCCTCGCAGAGCCCCCGCGTGCTGTATGTCCACACTGGACCATTTCTCATAAGGTCCTGTGCTTGCATGGCAAAGATGTGTTGCACAACTCACTCGTGGCAATACAGGCACAAATCGGCCTGTAGCACTCGCAGCTGCATCAGGATGTACGGGCTCATCATCATCGGTCCACCTCATCTGTGGCACAGCACCTTCGTCCGAAGCTCAACCTTGTGACGAACTCTGCCTTGCAGAAAGATCCCGTCGATCCACAAAAAAACAAAGGCGATTCTATATGGAGTTCTCTATATGGAAAAGGCATGCGACAAGCATAATTCCTTCAATTACGCCTGTCCAAAGCAATGGGAACCAACAATTCAGATGTGCGTTCCATACGAGGCCAGCATGTAAAGTAAACACACAATACACACATTCCTTTAGGGGAATTCAATGCTCCTCTGGACTCACAAATCCCAAGTCGTAATCCCAAGCCTGCCAAGCATTCATCGAGCTATGCGGATACTTGATGGAATTTCGCAGCACTACGTGTCCACAGGGAAACGATACACCATGTTGCCTTGTGAGGGAGAATGACTCGCGCTACACAACGGGGCCCTGTTAGGATGCTATCTGTGAGGAAATTGCTTTTGAAAAACCATGAGCCGCCAAACTGGAGTAAGGCTCTTCCTTACAGTCTTTTGGGCCATGAGTAACATATATCTCCCACCACACACGTACGACACGTACGAGTAATTGCGAGTGAGACACGAAGGCATCACCAGCCTCCGGATGTGATCGTGGTTTCTCCCCTCTCTCGGATTGCTTTCCGAACTCGGGGAGTCCTCATTTCTAAACAGACAGAACACGAATGCGAAAGCCTCGCGAAGCACCCTGTCCTCATACGGACCGGCAGAGATGTAGAAAGATGTGTTGAGGTCCCAGTACATGTCTCTTGTCACAATGCCGCCACCTTCAATTTCATGGATACGCACCTCGCTGACCCAGCGTGCAGGACTACTCAGTATGACTACTCATACTGCCCATATGGCCCATGTGGCCCCAGCTGTGGGGCGCGAAAGGCACGACTTCGTGGCCGAGCCCCTCGAATGCCAGGGCCGCCTCTCAGCACGCTGCTTTCTCTTGGGACGGCATGACTGGGAGGCATGATGAGGCAGGCTCACTCCTGCACGAGACTGGACCATGATCTTTTCGAGCAAGTGTGCCTCCCGCAGCGCTCGACGCACAGCAGGGCACGGCCGCGGAAATGTGAACTCCTGTTGAGCACTATGCACACGCTCAAAAGCTTGCGGTCTTCAGCAACTTCACACAACTTCACGATTTCAACTCTCGGAAAATGCTATCACATGCAACCACAATCAACAAAAAATCAACACAATGCCGTGATGGGCAAACGCGCATCACAACCGCTTGACAATCCTCCGAGAAGTGGCCGATTCGCAGCTTCCTGTGAGCAGAATCTCAGAAGGTACAGTAGCAGAATTTAGCAGACGCTCTGCATAGAGAAGCGTGTCTGCATGGTCAGCTCAGCTGAATGCGGCCTCTTGGACAGGAACCTCGATCCAGAAGTTCAAGAGCTACTAAAGTACTAGCAGCGACATGACTCAAGTCCATGGTGCTGTGTGCGCGCCACGCTGTCTCATGCATAGAAGAAGCTCGAGACTGTCGAAGGAAAGTGGCACCAATCGAGGGGCCTTGCACAACCGAATATCGGACAAGAGCAGGGAGTGCAACATCGCCAGATCCTGCGCATCTTATTTTGAAGTCCACTCGTATCCATGCCACTGCTTCACTGCCAACAACGCTGGCCGGTCCTTTGCGGATCTGGCCATGAGCCCGAGAACGATGGGCGTGAAGTACTCTCCACCGCGGACAAAGTCGATCTAAGTTGACCAACAAGGGCTTCACTGCAGCTGAGGAACACCTGCAGTTGCTCGGCCATTGTGTCAAATCTGTGCCAGAGCTGCTGAAAGGCGGCCTACGGTGGGCTTCAGTGCGGATATTCCGCAGTAGGCTGACGGTATTCGCACCGACCCGCCCACGTCAGAACCTCGTACAATGGACTGAAAGCTGCTTTTCTTCAAGAGGCATGATTCGGGCTATTTCGGGATGATGAATCCAAGGCACCGATACCGAACGGAGATGCCCCACCGCCGATCCTAAGCCCGGTCAGTGCTAATTTCAAGCTGAGTCAAGCAGAAGGCTATCTCTTTTAGACAATCCGTAGTTCCTGGTCAGCATTGGTCTGCCGAGTCTCAGGGCACCCTCCCCAGAACTGCTGCCGCCGCATGTGCGCCGAGTGTCCCAGGGGTTGAGCGTGTCACCGTGGACCGGGCTCCCACCACCGATGCTTAGAATTGCTTCGATCGCATGGAAACGGACATAAAATCTTCCTTCAAACAGCATTTTCCAGCTAAGGTGCGACATTCCAAGTTGCGCCATTGTCGATTTTGCAAAGGGAAAAGCGCCCAAAGCCTCATTGAGGCGGATTGATGCGGACTGAAACGGCGCACATCGGCCCTCGCAGCTTGTCAGGCTTGTCAGGTTCCAATTGCTTCAAGTGGCGCGCAGTGTGGCAACCAAGTTATCGTCTTGCTCGCTTCTGAGTCCGCGCCTTCTCATCAGCCCGATCCGGTACAAGCACCGAGTTTGTGCGAATGCAGTCTGACAGCATCACGCTATTGCCACTTTGCCTTTTCAGCGTCAGCGTGCCAACCGTAAGAGGGGTGCCTGCAACAGCGATGTGGTCCTGCTCAAGGGGTCCAAGGAACAAGCGTGCGCGTTGACTGAACTCTGGATAAGTGGCCTTCACAGTGAAAGGGACCCCATGTAAAGGGCCCAAAACTTCGCCGGTGCGCTGCAGGTGCTCATCAGCCTTCTGCCATGTGCAACATGGACTGCATCGCACAGAAACAGCTCAAAGCTCAAGATCTGTTCTTTGCTGGGATCACCGGTCATATACTACACGCTTGAAATGCACACTCAACATTTTGCCTGACGTGCTTCGCGCTCTGCATCCGGTAGCCAGTATGCAACTGCATTGCACGCATGGTGAATCTCCTCCTTGGATCTAGACATCGACTTGAGTTGAACTGAAAGGTTTCAACGGTTTCAACATGTTTCCACAGTGGCAACTGCAGCTTCCAGCTTCCGAGCAAAGACTCGGCTCGGGCCCGGTACGTGCGCAGCACCTCCAGAGCCGAGAAGCGCCGCTCTCGGATTGCGGCAGCGAGTTCTTCGATGTCGAGGGCGAGGATCGACGCCATTCAGTGCTAAGCGGAGGTGGGGAACGATCTATATGATCTTTTGTGAGTTTGTGCCTGTTGAGCTGGTGGACGAGCGGTATATGAATGCGCCGAACGCTGATAACCTAGGTGACTGCAGGTTTTGCTAGATGCGGTTTGGCTTGTGAGCATGAACCGATGCCAGCGCCAGTACAACTGCCGAAGACTATGGAATTGCTTCAGAAAGAATGGCAGAAAGTGCTCACGGCCCCGGCTTCCTTCTCTCTGCGCAGCCGCTCCTCCTAGACAAACACAGCAATCAACGAAAGGTCTCCAAAATATGGACCTTTTCCAAGCTTTTTAACGATGTGATTGAGAGGCCGCGGCCAATGAGGGCCCATCTTCTGTTGAAGGTCCCTTCTCGCCTCTGCTCCAACACGCGGCACTTCCTCCGTAAACCCTATTTTGGTGGTTGAACGTATACTAAGCTCATGCAAGCTCCCGCCTCCCTCGCCATCAGCCATGAGCAGACGGGGCAAGACCCATATCCGGCTCCCAAGTCACTGCAGCTGCAGACTGCAGGTACCGGGTATGACTGGGGGTTCGTCTAGCACAACGAATCTACTCTGAGTCTTGAAGAAGAGTCTGCGGTGTTCTACGACTCAGGGCTTTGCAACATTCACCTTCATCACAGGTTCCATGTGTCCATCCACATTGTGTGCAATGCAGCCTCTGAATCTATGTAGCCAAGCGTGATGAAGCGTGATGGACCCTGAACGCACGAGATCTCACGAGCCACAATCTGACAACGACGCAGCATGGCCGGACAGGGCTGTAGTGACTGCAGTGGCTTGTAGTGGCTTGCACATCCTTGCGAGACGAGGCACCGTCGGGCAGCTCCACGCTGTAGCGCCCAGTGGCGGTGCTGAAGCAGCGCACCACGCCCTGCTCTCCATTCAGCCTTGCTGCCCCAAGCGAGCGCAGGCCCTGCAAGAGTACCTGGGGCGCAGCTTAAGTTACTAAGGACATGGCTGCGGCTAAGTATGGCAAAGTGGTTGGCTGAGCAGACATAGTACTTGTTTGAGCAGGCTATTCTTAGCTGCTCTGCCATTTTGGCAGAACTCCTTCACGCCCCCCGAACCCTTCAAAACGCTTTGGCTGTAATAAGGCGGTTCTGGTTCTGAGCATTCTGTATCTTTGCCTCCTCACATTGCTATGCTGGTGCCTCTCTGCTTCTTGTGTTAGGCACCAAGCTCATCACTCTGTACCAAGGTATCCCACTCAACCCTCTTGAGGTTCGACTGCATCTACTCAAGTAAGTTTCGAAACATACGCATCAGTTATTGGTCTATCTATTCAAATAGCATGATGTGACACTCACTATCTAGACCTTGTGACGTGTAACCCTGAGTAATCTTCGAAGCAAGGTCTTCTGGACCAATCTTGGAAACACGAACAATTTCCCCGGCAAACATGAGCTAGTACAACATGTACCGACTTGAACCGCCCATGTATCAAAAAACGTATGGAGAAGATGACAACACATGGATCATGAGAACCGAAATGTTGGGGATGGAACCACATGAACAAAAAAAACGAAGGACCAGCAAACAACAGACAGAAGAGAAACAAGCCTGAATCTGAACACTCATCTTCACATTCATATTAATCAATTATTCATGACATCCAGCAATGTCACTCAAAGTCAGTATCACTCACGAGGCATGTGGCTACGATCCCAATGTTGCGCAAACAGGCAGCCCATGGCAGCGTGTACCAGATTTAAACTGCTCCGCGCCTGAGCGCCTGCTGTGAATCCACCGGGGCCGGTTTCTGTGCAGGGTGGTGGCTCCTGACAAAGCTGCATCAACAAAGGAACACAAACAAAGACCGACCGAGTCTTCAGTTCCTTAGCCCTGCACCAACTTTGGGTTTCCATTCGAGGGGAGCTGGATGTTTTCTTTCTTGACCTGGCAATGTCAAGATGTTCTGCAACAAAGGGCGTCGGCTACATGATGAGACCGGTTCTGGATGCAACAGGTACCTAAACAACCGCTGCAAACCCCAGATTCAACAGTGCCGTTGCCTGCCTTTCGGTAAGCCCCTGATGCCATCCTCAGTACATACCTGGAGCATGGCAGAGGACTTTGAACATTCTACGGGAAGTGGCTCAAAGTGCGGCTCCTGGAGGAGTCAGCATCATAGCTCTCCACGACTGCCTCCTGGCCGTTGAGGTCCACCTGAAAGCAAAACAACAAAAACGACATCCTGACAAAATGGCAATGTCGCACGATATCTTGCCATTCTGTGTCTGCCGATGTCTGCAATCAGAGCTGCGGAGTGTGTGAGGCCATTCACAACAACATGTCTGCCTGCTCACAAACAAGTTGCAAATTCAACCTCACATCGGACGGTAACATACTCATGTCTGTACATGCATCTGGCAAAGCAGAGACGTCACACATGCAAGCGCACCGTGTTGAAGCTCCGGCAAGGACAGGCCTTGAAAAACAGCAACTTTGCGCAACTCGAGACTCCACAAAAACGAAAAGCTAGCAATCCTGGGGCCACGTCTGGGACGATGTCGCAAATGCCGCAGTGCGTGGTGATTCGCACTTGCGTCTACAAACAGAGCCAACACACCTCGGCATGCGACAAAAAACTCCTGCAACGACTGCACACGTATAAACAATAACTTTGTAAAATACCCCAAAACAGGGAAAGCACAAGCGGAGGCCAACGTGAAGACCTACGTAAACTCACATCGGCAGAACACTGCCAGACTCTCACACTACTTTGGTTTTGAGCTTGTCTTGAACGACAAACAAAACCGCCATCGACGAAGGCATCGAAGTCAACATTCTGACCCTGTGATGACTTCACACGCCTCCGCTAGCAAGCGCTGTGGAGCACCAACAATGAAGCATGCGAGAAAGCCGCGCCACTGGCCATCGTCGTGAAAAAATGGCGTGTGGTGAGTTCATCAGCGCCTTACCGCGGATTTTGGGGCCTATGAACTCCTTCACGGTCAGGGGGTCAGGATTGAATCTCTTGACCGGGGCCCCACGGTGGCCCGGCACTGAGACTGCAAAATAGTGCAAAGGGGACCGCATGGCCTTCAAAGGTCGCCGAGGCCCATAAATACTGAATTAGGGACATTCCCAAAACGGAAAACTGACCACAAAGTACTGAGAAAGGACCGTTCTGTGTGTGACTACACTGACTACACTTTGTCCCATGCCTCAAACCTGTCGCGCTGCAACACCCAATCGCAATCACGCTGTATGGGCAAACCATCACTCATCATCCACACGACTTGACCCACAGCCGCATTCTTTTGAGACAAAGGACGAGTGTATCCGCACAACTTGTAGCGACCCAGCGATGGCTTGAGAAAGAGAAACGGAAGAGCAAGACCTTTACAACTATCACGAGCATTCGGGACTGTCGCGAACAATGCCTTGTGCTGACACAAGCGCTCAAGTCTTCAGTTTTGTGAACATGCATCAAGACCACACATCAATCGCAAAGCAACCAACTTTTCTAAATATGGAACAGTTTTGGGAGGTTTTTCCACAACCCATCTGGTTGAAGAAATTAAGTTGCTGCCTAGGAAGTAATGTTGAACCCGTTATAGTGAAAGGGGGCACTATTATGCGTTTTCCGGAAATCTTATAGGGGAGCCCCCCTTTGATGAGGGCGGTCCTCAATGCGAAGTGCGCTGCGCGGGCCGGGGATGAAGGGCGGGGGGCCGGGGAGCCAAAAACTAAAAATGATTCTGAATGAGAAACTCCGGAATTTTCTGGTGTCCGGCTTTATTCTATTTCCTTTTAGAATTTCATTACGAAACAGACCCCCAAACAATTTTCCAAGGGAGTAGCCCACGAGCTGCCCTGATTCGCTTTTGGTAAACTGTTTCGGTTACCCGCATTAATGCAGCCCCCCTGGCCAGGGAGCTACGAAGCCTGGAAAGCTTAGGCCCTCAAGCTTCAAGGCTTCCCCTCAACCCTCGACCCCTAGCCGCCTTACCCCCAGCCCGCGGCCCACATTATTCAGGATCCCCGAAAACCCCAAACTTGTTTGGAGAGGGGGGAGGGGGCCCTGCGCACTAAAGCGAGTCCAACATTACCCACATTCAATACCAACGACCAGGGCGCATGACCTTCTAGTTGCCGTCATGCAGTCTCGTCTTTCAAAAGCCGAGGGCGTGACCCCAGAGCGCGGTGTGTGGAAGCCTGGCATGAGGTCACGAAAAAAGTGTACGTTTGTTCTGCAATTCAGCTTTAAATAGTCTGCCATGAAACTGAGAGCGGCCACTGGACTGTGCCCCGCACATGCTAGCACCACGTTCAAGCATTATTGATACGAACGACGAATGCAACCCAAATTGCCAAATCAATCCGGCACAGATGCAGCCTCATTGACACGGAATGGCTGGAAGGGGGCGTAGCGCCTGCGAGGCGCACAACGCTGGGGCGAACGCAGCAAGGGTACTCCAACGGCGACCTCCCTGTCATGCCAACCCGCGCAGTCCCTGGGCAAGATCTGCCTCACCGCATCCAGCGGACACGAAGGCTACCGCATCTCCTGTGCGAAGCCAAAACTGTCTCACTCTTATGTCGACATTTGTTGACCGAGTTTTTTGCATTAGCCCTCATATGCCCTCATACTGTCACAGCGACATACACCGACCAGCCCATTCGGCTTGTGGCCGCCTGCGGACAGCACCTCGAGTCCCCAAGCCGTCTTTTTGAGCCAAGGACGGAACGGGCCCAACGGGCCCTCAGCAAATCTCAGCAGAAATCTTAGCAATGCGGACCCGCCCCGACCGACTCGCTGTGCAACAACAACCGTGCTCTTTGCACTGAGCAGGGCCATAGCCGTAGCTTCAGGCAGCTCTATATAGCAGGACAAGGCATCAGTGTAGCACATGATTTCTGCACACTGCACTGGTGCACCAGACTGATGCGCGACATCCTGTACAAAGCGAGTCGGCACACAGTCTCGCGTTACATTTTGCACGAGTCCTTAACACAAGCAAATTCTATCCTTATAGTACCGAAACAATTGCCTGTACTGTACTCGAAGCCAAGAGGTACGGTATTCAGACGACGATGCACGACTGCAGATGCAAAGACACTGATTGCTTCTGCACCCGAGGTTTTGGCATCTTTCGCTTGACCATGCTCGGCTGAGCAGCTACTTCACCTTGCTGCTGTACTTGGACTGCCACTCTGTCAAGGCCTCAACAGTAGGGGCTCCTACATCATCCTACATCCCAATGTCGCCAACGCCCGCTTCCACAGTGCGGTCGGAACAAGTCGCCGACCAGACGCATTGATCGATTCAGCTTCACCACCCGCCGCCTCGAATGAGTGATTTCAAAGAGGGTAAAATCGGGCAGAACAACGTACTACGATGTACAGGGCCGGCGCTTCTGCTTGATCGCGTGGAAGGCTTCCTGCCCGATCTATACTGTGCCATTTGCCATTTGCCACACTTGACAGTCAGACTGTTAGATAAAGCCCTGGGCCGGTCCTCCCAAGTAGGGAAGAGACCTGCACGAACTAAGCCTGACGAAGGCTTAGCGAAACCCCCGTAAACACACTGCCGCACCCAATCTCGTATTCATTCCCATTCAACTGGGTTCTTCGCAGGCGCACAAAGTCGTTGTTGACCGTCCACGGCCATGAGCGCAGTGAACCAGCACCTTATGACTCAGTTGGGCAAATAAAAGCTACACCTATGGTGGGAACAGACATGCCAGCAAATTCAATACAAAGGGCCCTGCGTCCCCTCGCTCGTGTGCCGCAACTGCAAATTGCGCTGCCTCCTGACGTCCCACCCTCTTAAAACAGGTGACATCTGAGCTCATCCAACGAGGAGCGGAACTTCTACACAGACACACTCCTCAAGCTGATCAGGTGTTGGCGGGACCTTGGCTCTGACAATTACCGAAGATCTGCACGGGAAGGGGCAACAAGCCGCCAATGGGCCCCTGTAGGCCTACTGCGCCATCCCAGCACTCAATCAGCATATACTTGTCCTGCAGGTCAAGCTGTCCAAAATGACCAACTCATCCTCTTGCCCACCAGAGGCCGTCCAAGACAGAGAGAAAGGATGAGGCGCCTGTGAAGAGGTCTCTGGAAACTCGCAGGTCAGGTCGACGTTGCCAGCCTGGGCTCGGAGGTCAAGACCAACCAGCTCAGCTGCAAAAGCAAAAACCAATCTGCAAGCATCTGCAGATCTAAGTTCGAGTCCCATCGCTTGCCCAGCCTTTGTCTCAAGATCTCAAACGCAGCTGCGGGCATGAGACCAAACTGTACCAAGGTGCTCGTTGCTGTAACGCCCACCAACCCACCATCCAGGCCTTAAAGAACCGAAGCGTGCGCAAGCTTGCGACAGCACATGGAGCAGTAGGATGCCGCAAGGAGTATGTATGTGGACGCCTGCACCAGTCACAGACCAGTACTTTCCGAGTCGGATCAATCTCGCCAGGCTGCTCGACTTCATCGGCCGGAGCCACACCACTTTTGCGGTCACGCTCTCGCTGGATCTTGCCAGGGCTGGCCGGTGTACCACACAAAACGTAGCTAGAATCACAAGAGCTCGTCTGCTTGAACTGGTCAAGCCCTACGGTATCGACCGCTTAGAGTACTTGCAAAAGAATGCTTCCATTGCACCTTTGTGTAGAGAAAGGTGGGGCCATGGAAGCCAAAAAAGAGGATGTAAGACCTCGGCTTGGCATGAGCATCTGGAAGCAGATTCCAAAACAAGCCTCCACATCCTCACGTTCCGAAGTCCCGGCTGATCCTACCACACAGTATGACCACAGTATGACCACAGTATGACCATGCATGACCCCTTGCTGCCAAGCTGCCAAAGCGGGATGGATCCTGAAACCTTGAGGGTTTGAGGCCACAAAGCTGCAACAAAAGCGCCTCACATCGTCTCGCACCGTCTCGCCCCCCTCCGGAGGTGTCAAGAGGGAAGCATAAAGCAGGTACCCCCACCTCTAATCCCCACCGCCTGAAAAACCTTCTGGCGCCTGAATGTGCTAGCCTGCCGCTCCAACCCCCCCACCAATCCACCATGCCCTCCCCTTCGTATTCTCTTTCTTTTGTGTCTTCGTGTCTTGGCTTCTGGCACGCCTGGAGGGCTAGCCTTGCGGCTCCATCGCCTCATACTTTCCCTTTCTTCCTTGTATTCGTGTCGTACCTAATCTTACCTGGCCTGCCTCTGCCTCGCCGGCTGTCCTTTCCTCCTTTACTCTGCCCCACTTTCTTCCCTTCGACTACCCAGCTTTTCTGGGGCCGTAGCATGCACCCTGCCCCGGCCGAGGCTGGACGCGTAGCGTTAAGAAACTGGGTTGCCAACAGGGTCCTTTCCCAGAATGCTCATACCTGCACTGAAACGACTGAAACTCAAATACGATCCTGCAGCCTCCGCGGCTGCATCTAGCGACTTGCATGGGCAGTTTGTTGTAGTGCTTCACTTTCGTTCGTCAGCATGCAAGCCATGCAGATATCAAACTGAATCCCAGCTCCCACCCAGATAAGCACTCATGGCCTATTCGCAGGTTGAAGAGGAGGGCAATGACTGCGTTTATGAAGCTCACATTGTAGAGGTACAACCCCATCAGCCTCGAGATGCCAGCTCGTTGGCTCACAAGGTTCCAGCCTCTGCCAGCTTCATTGAGGAGCACACAGTTGTATGTTGTAGATGCCGGCCCTCGGCAGTAAGGCACACTTTCAAAGAGAAGGCCAAAGTTCGACTACGAGTACCTAAGTACCTGCTCTTGATGCTCTTCCCCCTTCTCTTCGCCTAGCAAACCCCTGCAACTCATAGGAGAGGCACCAATCAACATCGTCGACGGTGAGCAAGCGATCCACGTCACTCGGTGTTACCCATCGGGCCTCCATTTCCAATTCATCCATTCCATTCTCAGAACCCGAGACTCGTCAAGAGCATCCTTAAGCGCCGGACAGCCGTCGCTGCCATGCCAGCTAAGCCGACATACTTCAAGGACCTAAGCGAGCATCGCAAGATGCAAGGCCTGAGTACTTATGCCCGTGCTGTCAAAATCTGGGACATCGGCACTGCATGAACCGCTCCCATGGCTCACTGAAGCTTCAAGGTACAGACGCTTCTTTTCTCCAGCAGTATGTCTGTAACATTAGAAATTATGAACCATGTATACAATCCACAATGTCATGAGTGTTGGAAGCACCAAGTCGATCAAGATTGTAGCAGATTCGTAAGCAAGATGGCTTAAAAACTAACCGGTTGTGGCACGCGCGGTGTGAAGTGCCATTTGGGGTTGTTTGCCACTGACGTGGTGCATGCTGGTATCTTGTGTGTGTAGGCCAAATACAACGGCACAACGCATCATATGGTTCGATACGTCTTTTTGCGCTTGAAGAAAGGGACAAAAAGGTCATGAAACTCAGCGTCGCCGCACACTCTAGCTTGGAGCTAGTGGTAGCTTCGCTGGACAATCATGGTGGCAAACGAATAATTATCGACAAGCCCCGCGCGGAGGCCTGGAACGGCAGATCCCCAAAGATGGTGGAAATGCTGGCGAAAACTAACCGCTTTCTGTCAGTGAGGGGAGAGGGCATGACGGCATAGCCTGCGTGCGCGTGCGTGGGTGGGTGGCTGTGTGTGTACGTGTGTGGGGTTCCTCATGCACTGCAGGGTAGAAGTTCCTCTCTGACTCCTGTGCTGGCACCGATGCCAGCCCGTTTCACGCTCCGTGTATGCCAGGGTCTGAAGAGGCCCTCTGCCCAGCGAGGATTGTGGACGATCCGAAACCTGCGAGAGCAAGAGTGTGGACGATCCGAAACCTGTGGGAGAAAGACAGGGAGGGAGAGGGAGAGAGATTGGGATGGTCCAATGCTCAAGCACTCTGTGACCGAAACATCGGCAGTGTTTCGACGCAGCTGGTTGCAGCGAGCGTCCGACTAATCAGAGCCCACGGTGGAATCCAAAAACCAAATACGAGTCTGTTGACAAAAGCCTGCATGACATACGGTAGGGATTCTTGCGCACCGTGGTCTCTACGTGCTAGCCTCGCTTGCATCGACGTTTTGCCGAGAAGCTTGGTTTTGGTCAATGGCATGCCGCGGATGGCTTCGTCCACTTCTTGACCTGCCCACCTCCTACCATATGCCGGCCACACGTGGTCGCTGTGGAACGCCGTATCTGACGTATGTTGTCATCTTGGCTTCCTTGTGCCCACAGCGATCTCGCTGAGCCAGAAGAGCCCCAAGATTTGGGTAGCGTGCATCGTCCTGTTCTTTGCAGGCTGAATTGCATCTAAAAGTCACCCTGAGCAGCTCGCGCATCACCAATCCGAATCAGCAAGGCCTCAACCTGCAGATGCACAACGACCACGCTGTGCAGGCTACAGAAAGTGCCCACCAGATACAAAAAACAGAGCTTGCAGGTGTCCAGTCTGTCCTTTGGCCAGAGATGGTTTGCCAGCTTGTTGTTTTTGGCCTTAGGCCAGCTTTGCGCAGTCAGGTAAACTTTGAAAACCTACAACATTTGAGATCAGTTGAGGCGTTAGCTGGAAGACCATCCTTCAGAATCCCGCAGGTTTCCAGCGAAGCTTTGATCTGATCAACGCAATGCTGTTACATGACTCCGAGGCAGAAGGGCGCTGGTGCTTTCAGAATTTCAGCTGAATATATGAGGAGCAGCAAGAGTCTAAGAAGCCAAGCCTGATCTGCCATGAGCAAGGCCTTTGGAGAGAAGATCGCGATTGCAAAAAGCAAACACGAATTCCAGAGGTTTTCTTCTTGGACAAACCGGATCTCGCAGCAGACCAACTGAGAGTGCTGCATTCGAATTCACGCTAGCCAAGCTGACAAGAAGCAAGACCAGATTGGTGGCACCTGCGGTCTATGCAAACACTCGCTCTCGGAACTGCAGCGGGGTACGCAGGGTGAAGCGTGCGTAGACCCCCTGAGGAGACGACACTCCTCGTTAGCCCAGTTCGCCAAAGCAAGCTCCTCTAGCAGCACCGGGATGATGTGCGGACCCACCTGTCGACAAACGTCTTTGGCCCTTGTGAGAGAAACATTCGCCCAGAAACACGCACGTGCTCCTCCCACAATTCTCTGCTGCTGTATCCGCTATATCCAAATTCAACTGCCGGATAAGCCAGCACGACTCTGTTGGTGAAAGCTCGCCGTAGCAGCAGCAGCAGCAGCAGCAGCCGCGGCGGCGGCAGCGGCAGCAGCGGCGGCAGCGGCGGCAGCAGCGGCGGCAGCAGTGGCGGCAGCAGCGGAAGCAGCAGCGGCAGCAGCGGCAGTAGCAGCAGCGGCTGCAGCAGCAGCGGCGGCGGCGGCGGCAGCAGCAGCAGCAGTTACTAGTATGGTTAAGAGGCAACGCGCGTGATGCGACACGGCAGACTCAGGTTAAATGAACTTCGAGCTGTTGAAACCCAGAACCCTGATATCCATGATCCTGAACGCGCATAATGCCACAATTCCATGGCCTCGGGAAATCTTTCGAATTTCTTGTTCTGCAAGCTTTCCGTGTTATGTAAATGTAATTCCCTTACCCTCGAGATGATGCATGATGATGCAGCTGTCTTCCAATCTATGAAATTCAAGGTATGTAAGCCGCGTTAATTGGGCTCTTTTAACCCTTAAGCCCGAAGCCTTTATGTCCGGTGGGCAGGAATTGGGGGATGTTTGATATAAGCCAAAGTTTTCTGGCCTCCGGGATTCATTCAAATTTGAAGGTCTGCAAGTACTTAAAGCAGCAATTTCAAGCCGGCGGAATGCCTACGGCTACGGGATCTGTGGTTTTCCCCGAGCGTCGGTGTGGGGTTGTTAGATTTTAGCTCCACTGTTCTCCTCACCTGGCCCGGTCCTGCTGCCCACCCCCAGAGAATCCTGCGAATCGCGTCGAGAAGCCAGCAGACCCCAAACATGATTGACCTGTATGCTCTGTGGCCCGTTGAGTGCTTCACCCTAAAGCGAGTCCCCCAAGAACAACGATTTTAGGACACGCCGCCACTCCCACTTGGCGTGTATGCTCTGTGGCCCATGGCGTGCTTGTGCCCACAGTGCAACCTGTGCCAAGAATTTTGAAAGCATCTTAAGGTCATCCTCTCTTGGTCTCGGAAACTTTACTAGAACCATGGGTGTTGAAGGCATCCAAGGTTATCTTTCATTTTGCCAGGAACTTGGTTGAGAAGCGTAATCTGTTCTTTCTTCTCAGGATGTGCATTCGATTCATGGGTGTTGAAAGCATACGGAAAGGAGGCCTTGAGCTTGTTCTGACCCAGCAGGCACAACCTGTCCAAAAGACTGTCGGTCAAGGATTAGCCGGTTGTCCGATCGGCAGCAGTTTCCAAGCACCCCGCTGGCGAAGAGCGAACAAGAGCTTTGATTTCAGCTTCGTGTTTGGCTGCGCAGCATCATTTACCTGAAGCTGAGCACGGGCAACTTCAGAGTGAGAACGTGCACACAGTGAGGCCATGTGAGGCCATGTGAGGCCCGAACCCACAACAAGCAGGCCACAACTGGAAAGCTTTCTGAGATCAAGCTACCTCGGCCATACTCATGACAGTCCTGCGCGTATGTGGTGAAACCAACAGCCGACAGCTGTTCAGCCACTGGCGAGTCTCAGGATCATTGCAAAGCTGTCCCACAACGCTGGCCACCTTGATCGCACAAACAGTCATCACATGAATCTACGACTCTACGAAACTGATTTCCATCACCAACCTCCGCGAGAATGCGTTGCTTTCGAAGATTCCTGAGTTGGCACCGCATCACAAGGACGAAGGAGCGGAACTCGGATCAAAGCGCTGGGGCTGCTGTTTGTGGAGGTCTGTGTGCCTCGCCATGCACAGGGCTCGGGTGTTCGAGACCCTAAAACTTCGGGGGCATACAGGAACACCCGCCTCACACACCCTTGCACGTATCTTCTGCTGGCAAACCAAATATGCCGCGTGCACGAAGCACTGCGTTACTGCACAGTGTCTGCGTACGCATATGTGCAATGCAGGCGAGCATGCATGCGTCGAGCAGTCGATCGTGCAAGCATGTGAGAGGATGCGTGTGTGTAGAGCTGTCTCCGCTGCAGTTGAACAGAGCCCTCGTGATCGTGCGTGTTCGTCAGTGAGGTCCGAATCAATGCAGCCCTCCGTCCTGCCCCCCTCAAGCCTCGCGTTCAGCTTCAGCCCCCTCCCCCTTTCATGACATCTGACCAAGAAAGGATTTCAGACCGGGCAGCTGGTAGGAAGATGTCAAGATGTCCACCAGCAGCGGTACGCCACCCTGCCGAGCAGATGCCAAGTCATCGCGCAGGACACACGGGAGCTGACGTGGCATGCTCGGACCATGCTGCGCACAGGCACGACTCAGCAATTGCTCTGCATGAGCGGACGCGCCATTCTACAACCCATCAGTTGGGCACTCTACAGCGCCTCTCGCACCACGATGTATCCTTGCGCCACAAGCTTTTCGTGTCGATTGGAACTGGGCAGTAAAATTCGACCAAGTGGCTGTGGTGAGGCGTTTTGGTGAGGTTGACCAAGAGGAAGAGACTTGGCAGTCAGAGTTGCGCAAAACATCTTCCCGAACAAGGGCTGCTTCAGCTTCATTGGGGATGTGGCGTGTACAACGTGAGCTCATCGTGTTTTATCTTCAGCTGCTTCACACCTGCGAGCAACTACGGGAGCTGCGGCAGCACATACTCCGCAAATCTGGGCAATGTATGCAGCTCAGCGACACATCTTAATCACGCCCTGTGACACCAGGAGCTGCCTCAGACATGCCAGCCATCAAGCAGAAAGCACCGTGCTGCAACTCTAGGAGCGGCATTCTCCGAACCTACTTCCACTTGCCACTTGCCACTACGCTGTGCCAATGGCAAAAAGGCGTTCTCCGAGGCCTCTGGCCATGTGGCTTGAAGATCACGAACTAGTCACTAGTCCAGTGGCCTTTCAAGGCCTTCCCCTTCACACTTCGCCCCACCCAGGGTCCTGCAGAAGGGCACCCCACAAGCTAGTTCTCCGGCTTCCCTCCCCAAGGAAGCCCCCGAAACTCCCAAGCAGCCAACCTGCCTTGGCATCGGCACAACTCAGACAGCGCAGCATCTGGACTGATGAGGGTTGGGCTTCATGTTCTGCCGACCACAGGAGAGGTTTACCAAGGATGCCTCAAGGTCGCCAGGCTGCGACGGCAAGTCAATCAGTTTCTGCACATTCCGAGATGCCAACAGTGGCATAGGACATCAAGATGTGGTTGGATCCGACCATGACCTGCGAGAATGTGTCTGCAAGGCAGGAGTTCGTCTCATTTCAGGGTTTGCAGCACCATGCTCCCCCCCAGCCACCTTGACCAGAGCAGGAACCAGCTGCTTGACCTCAGAAACCGTGACCATCCACTGTGGCTGGCACTCTGCAGGGCAATTGCAACTGCATTGCAGCAGGGCTGCCGTCTTCTCAAACTTGTTGTCCTCTCGGTCATGCGAACCACCTAGCCTCAGCTAGCGCAGCTTAGCCGCGCAGCTTAGCCGTGCATTCATGGCATGTGAGTGCTCCTGAATAAGGCCGCAGCATGCCCAGAACATGACGACAGACCATGGTTCCTTGGCGATGCTGGATCCCACTAATGCGGCTTATGCTAGCGAGCGGCCATTCAAAATTGCATCCAGGCGGCGAAGGCCCAAGCCCACGCTTTCATCAGTGAGGAGCTGTGCCTGGGCGAGCATCTTCCATAGGTGCACCATGGTCCATCATGCTTCGGCTTACAGTCTGAAGCTGAACCCTGGCATGGCTTGCAGCATTCGGCAGAAAAGAAGTATCCAAAGGAGTCCTACTGGTAGAAGCTGGTAGATACTCGTGGTACATGAAGAGACATGGAGCTCATGGAGAAGAAAAGATTGTGGCATTTGGCAATGGCATCTGCTGAAGCTTTAAGGCTTGCAAAGACTCGGCGCCCAACAAGCAACTCGGCATAGTCAACGCCAGCACCAGGTGGCCGCTTCTTCCTGAAGCCCCACTTATCCCAATTGCAATTTTGACTGACACTGTGGTCGGACATGTGTGCTTGATGTGCTTTCTTGGATCCCTGCAACTCGCTCTCAACATAGTTCTCCGAAAGGAGATGCCGCATGATGATGTCCTTGGCACTCTCAGATACTCTAACACTTCCTGCGCATGTCTGAAAAAGCAACTCGGAAAAGACACCACCCGGCTTTGCTAAGCCTGCTGCGTTGAAGAAATATTCAGCGAAGGCCTCCGACTCCTCAATCATGCGGATGATCGGTGCGGGTGCAGGCACCATTGCTGCAGCGATTCCAATACAATTGCCGCGGATGCCTTCGTCATCGCAATGATACTGACCGGCTTCTTCTCAAGGAAGAGATTCGACTTCCAGCCCTTCAAACCGCCGGCATCCCGCTTGTTCACATGCAGGAGGAAGTCAATTACTTCCTGGCCGAGACGTGTGCAACCGGGTTCAACTTTAAAACAGCTTACAGCTGCCTGCGACATTCTGCGACGCTGTGCTTGCCTTCATCTGCCGGTCGACATCAGAAGACACTCGTCCCAGAGACTGGATCTGAGTAGCTGGAAAAATTCGTTGGACCGCGGCACGACAGGCGCAGCAGTGCCATTCTATGAATACTGCTCTCGCTAACACGGCTGCACAGAACCCGCCACTACGCTGAGGCAACGGCAAGAAGTGGAAACGTGAAGCGCTCACCCATGATGCCGCCGTCCAAGCAGTATGCGAAGTAGCGTGCGATGCGAGCAGCCCAGGCGTTGCGGCGCTGCCAAGCAAAGAGTTTGACACCGATTTCTTGGCACACGTGTCAGGGCCGACAGCAAGCATCCCTCACACCTTCACGCCTTCCAACATCTCACTCGTCACAATTGAAAAGTCAGAAGATCGAGAATACGGATAGAAGCCCTAAGTCAAGAACAGCCTAACAGTACTGAATAGTCGACGGGTCCCCGACAAGTTCTAGAAAGTCGAAATGTCCCAACGGTCGAACAACTCTCGACTGCTCGGTACTTTGTGCCCTTTCCTTACGAAGGATGTAGCTACATTTACACTCTGTTGATCTCTGTTGGCTGGGTTTTTGCCGTGGCTCCCGACTCTCAGTGTTCTCTGAAAAGAAGCAATCATTTCATCGCTAACAGCTCAACTGTTGCTGCAAGCACCTCGTTGCGATCCTTGCTGGTCTGCAACAGAGACTCAGCTTCGGAGATGGGTTCCTGCACAGCTTGGCACTAAGCTTGATGAGGCAGAAGCCCACCCTCGAAAAGGATTTTTACAACGCAACAACAGCCCCGGTCGGTGTGGAGCCTACTACGGCGCAAAAACGGCAACGGCCTGCGGCACGCTGCAGGGATCGCCCATGTCCGGCACGTCTTTGAAGATCTGTGCATCATCAAGTATGGCCCAAGCCCACATAACAATCTGCCCCCTGCATTCTGTCGTGCTGTGAAAGTTAGCCGCCCCTTCGGCTGCCGCGATTCTGTAAGACGGCCTCGTCATGCTCAATCGACTCATCCCAGAGAGCACCTTCACTCAGCAGGATTTTGACCTAAGTTTGCTGCAGCACGCACTCCGAGAGTCATGGTAAGGAAAGGTCCACAGATGTCCACAGGTCTACATAGGAGTACGATGAGTCCCTGGCGACAGACCGCAGGAACTTCAGCGCTGCGCGGCGGTGGACCGGCACCATGCCCAGCTGCCCCTCCGAAACGAAAGAAATGCCAAGTTCCTTCCTTTTTGCTTTTTTGGGCTCACTGGGCAAACCTGTCCTCTGCCCAACGATAGCCATCTTCAGTGAAGTGGAGGGTGTTCAACCTCGCCTGGAAAAAGGGGGGGGGAGGGGGACCGAGCAAGTTTGCGTCGCGAACCCCTTCCCAGCCCCAGCCCAGGCCTGCAACGGTCTCTTGTAGATGCCCACCTTAAGCTCGACACAATTCGACACATGTATCCACTGCATCATCATCCTTTCCAAGACACGTTCTCATATACGGAAGAGATGGAATCGGCAATGATGTGACACCTTAGAGCTGGCAATGCACAGCAAATCGTGGCAGAGACCGCTACATGGAAGGGCCATTGAAGGGTGGCCATTGCTGCCTACGATTGCCTGTGTCTCTGGGCAAGCTGCTCGTCCAAGATCACCTCACACGTATCCTTTGCAGCAGCACGGCCACATCACCGCACCGCTTGAAGCCACATAAACAAACCATCGTCTTGAAGTCAGGCTTGCCGAGGTGCGTTTGTCATGCTCTGAGCCGGACATCGGACAACAACTGCGATGTCCTGAGGCTCAAGACAAGAATGCAGACAAGAATGCATATTTGACCACATCACCCGTAACGATGCATCATCACGATCAACAACCATGTCCGCCACTTTTTGTAGTCGCAATCTGCTGCAGTCAAGCACTCTGCGACATTGAAGTCAGCTGTTCTTGCTTACGCGGATCACCCGAATATGCTCGCGTATTTCTGTAGGCAGCTGTAGCATGTCAAACTTCAGGCCTCAGGGTTTCTAATCGGAAGGTCACATCATGCAGTCTGAGCAGACACACTTTGCATTGGGTGAGTATGCTCGATCGGCCTGCCAAAATAGTTCCCATTGCACTGTCCTGCGAAGGGACACGGTGCATTCGACTGAAATGATCGGCAACGTTTGGGTCAGCCTCGATGGCCCAGGCATTCCAGTGCAATTCAGAGAGTGCACCACTTCCCACACCTGGGTAAGACAGGCGTTCTGAGGTGCACTTGGGCTCCATTCCGAAGCGATGATTGAATTAAGCGTGGTTACATCAGAGCGATGCCCAGGTGCTAGCCAAGAAGGCTGCAATATCAGACGAAATAGCATATCCTGAAGCCTGCACAGAACAAGCTAAGTGCATGCTCCTGTGCCTGAGACAAGTGTCACTGCTCCCACCTCTGGGTAGGGGGGATACACTCCCAAACCCAAGTCGTGGCTGTAGTGAAGATTGTTCCACTGCCTTCGTAGAGCGAAATTGGTCGCAGCATGTCGCAGCGCAAGTCGCCAAGTTTATGATGGCAAAAGGCGGAGGCGCGAGGGAAAGAGGGGAAAGCAACAATTAAAAAATGTTAAGCATTCAGGCGCGGAACGGCATGCAAGGAATCCAAAGCACTGTCACTGGGACATTCATGAGATTGGACACGCTCGCAAGTTATAGGTCTCGGCGCGGCTTCCGACCATCGCTTTGTGCTCACGACTTGTTCGTCAATTTAGGGTTCAGAGCCCAAGGTAAAGGCTTAAACAAGGTTAGCATTAGAGATTCATAGCCGGTTCGAGTGAAATGTTGCGAAAAAGTCTTAGCTCAATGTTTGTCCAAGCTTTTATGCTATCGGCTGAAGACGTCCCCTCCTTCAGTAACCTGAACTTGTGCGATCTTTTTTCGACGCTAACAACCTTATATCGCTTATATCTTCTCAAGATTTGGAAATGACGAGGCCACCTCCCTTCAGCCATGCAGATAAGCTTCGGATTGTGAGTGTCGTTGGTCAGGACCTGTGACAGACTTGGAGTAAGTCCAAAAGCGGACTCAATCCTCTGGAGGGTTCGCTGCTCATTCGCACTCGTATGTCTTGTCTGCCTCGTCCCTCCCAAAATGGGTGAGACAAAGAGCACGTGGCAGATGCAACTTTTTGCTTGGGCTGCGTGTGAGACCTTTCCTTCTTCGGGAAGGCACTGTACAGTCATCAAGTTGAAGGCACCAGAAGTCCGGCTCAAAAGCAAAGCCTGCCAGAACCTCTTTTGCATATTTCACATCGGCATGCATTAACAACCATTAATTAAAAGTCATGGCAAGATTGGCCTCACCGTACCTGATGGTGTAGCAATGCTGCTCAAAGCTTCATCGCAGTATGGGGGAGGATGGCCCGTGTGGTTATGCTCTTTGCAACATACGGCAATATGAACCAGGTCCGAACGGCAACTCTGGCACTGCGCATCGCAGTCTGCGCACCTCGCCGCGACGCACCTCTTCACATCCTCTGTCAGAATCGCCTGCGCGCATATAGGCGGAGCAGCCGCCGGGTGGAAGTGCTGGTCGCAGCACGCTGAGATTCTGAAGCTGTCGTCTCTGCAATTTGGGCAATCTCCTGCGCATGAACTGCACCCAGCTTCAATGCACGTTCGCACATCCTCTGCCCAGGCACAAGTCAAGGCCTCTTGCCCCACAAGCCGGGCACATGGGCTAGTCGAAGTTGTGTTGCGGCATTGGGGTGGCGCCAATGCCGAGTGGAAATCACCATCGCAGCACGACGAAACTACGCTGGGCCGATGCTCACATGCTGCACACTCCTGCCCGGCGCATCCTGCACACTGCACACCTATGCAAGCCTTGATTTCTTCCGCCAACATGGCCTCTTTGCACATTTGAGGCGGCTCCGAGTCTGGATGTGAGTTGGCCGTGCAACAGTGAGACACTTTCACCGACTCTTGCTGGCAAAGTTGACACTCGTGCTCGCCACAATCGGTGCACTTGTCAGCCACACAGGCTTTCACGGCCTCTTCCCATATGCAGGTCACGTTCTGTGAACCATGGAGTCCTTCACATGGCTGCGAGTTGCCGTGCCTCGCATCTCCCAGTCTGCAAAGCACAAAGGCCAGGCATGCACGAGCGCCGATGGCCATAGCAGGTCTAGCCATCTCTTCAAGGCCGAATATCTCGAAGCGGCTTGAGGCCGGCGGCTCTGGGGGGAATCACAGGATCTCTCACGCAACTTACCACGTGAAGTGGACATCCACAGACAGGGCACCTTGTTGCCGTGGAGAATGGTTCCGAGGACAAAAGGTCGACCTTGAGCAGCAGTAGGCAGTGTGAGTGCCCAGAAGCGCACGACAAGCATCTCACTTTCAACTTAACGAACACAGTCCACACAGTCCAGGACACGCGGATGCGCAGGAGGTCTTTCCATGGCTGGCTCCCCGAGAAGACGACCTTAGGTGACATTCTCTGCATGGCAAATGCTTTCAATGCTCAGCATTGCTCAGCTCCGAGCACCAAGAATGAGATCAGAACTTCATGTTTGAACAAGCATGCCAATTGATCGCAAGGGGGCGCAGACCATACTCGAAGACCTCTCCACTTGCCATCGCCAGTGTGCATTGACTGAAGGTGGCACAATCCCCATCTGGACTGACATGGAAGTAGTGGCAACCACGGTCCATGGCACACTGAACTTGGCATTGCCTAGGCATGGTATAGGTTCGTGCCCACTGAAGGTTGGAGGTGTTTATGAGACCCACACAACACGCTTCTTCGAAACATACCACGCTGGTCCTCAACGAAACAGACATCTCTGCAAGCGAGCGACAAGCGGCCGATTGCTGGCATCTTCCACCTTGCCCTGTCAGCTCCACAATTGCTGCGGTCTGACCTTGGTAGCAAACTTTCGCCTTGCCAGCTGTTAGAATGTGATATCCCTCGCCATGTCATTCGCTCTTGCACCACTAGTCCACCGCATCGAACAAATCCTCGCTCTTGCCGCTCTCACTCATGCCCTGCTGGTACTCTTGCCACCCTGCTTTGACCAACATGTAAGCCCTCTCTGATCCTCTTGCCGGCCACATGCACCTCTTAAGGTCTCTAGGGCTCAGGGTTGTACTCGCAACCCCTCCGCACTCCTTGAGGCCTGTTACCGGCAATTACTGTAGGGGTCGTGGACTGGTGGTGGATTGATTGGTTTGCTCCAGAAGCCCTGCTGCTTGCAAAGTTTGCAGTATGTGCACACGCATGGAGTTGCCAAGATTGCCAAGCGCATCCACGGAGTTTGGGGATGGGGCCGATGGGCCGCCGCCGTGCTGACAACTGCTGAGCTCGTGTTCGCAACAGTGCTTGCTTACAAAGCGAAGGGGATCATGCAAGCCTCCAGTGCCTGAGTGATCGGTGTTTACATGTGTTTACAGGAAAGTGATGCTCCATCAAAAATCAAATGCCCAGAGGTGGAATCTGGGCGGAGTCTCGTCTCGAGTTCGGCAGGCTTGGTGCAAGGTTTCGGACTTGTAGGATTCGGGTCTGAGGGTTTAGGGCATGCACCTTCAGTCTCTCTGCATGCGCATTGCGACTCTAATGTTCTCTGTCCAAGCAACAATAGTACGATACAATTTCCATCAGCAGCATGTTGTAGCAGCGGCAGCATAAAATGCAAAGGTAGCATCGAATCGACATCAGCGCGTATGAAGAACTTCACAACGAAGCGCTCCTGTGGCGCAGAATTGCGCCGTCACATCGTGGCTCAAGCACGAGGCCAAGGATAAAGCTTGCTGCATCTTGCTGCCAGGATGCTAGCAACGTCCGATATGCCACAATCATTTTCTGCAGCAGCTGCCTGTAGCCATGCTGGCATTCCACCACCAGCAAATCGTCTTCACCTAGCCAGCGCAGGAACTCCCCAGTCCAAACAGGCCATATTCCAAACATTTGCAAGCGAGGCTCGATCGGATGACATGGCGCTGTCCCATAGCAATTCAATGTCCGGATCTGTGCTGGCAATGACGAAGAAATGTCGATGGCTCACTGCCTTCGCACTCACATTGTATTTGGCTGAAGAACGCTATAGAACGCTGAGCTCGCGGCATGTTGCCTGAGGGCCGCACGCTGTGGTGTGCTGCGCCGGTGCGAAGCCAAGTGCTCCTATCAACTGCAGATCTCTCTGCCAATACTTTTGCCTGCACTGAATTGTCGGTCATTCGCAACGTTGACCTATTGCGCAAGGAAAAATTTGAATATCGGGAAATGTGCAAAATGCTGCAAAATGATATTAAAAAAACCCACTTTGAACACACGAAGCTAAGCTAAGGCCGAGAACCTGAAAGGTGGGAGGTGCTGACAAAGCGCGTTCCCTGGCCAACTGAAGTGCGGAGACTGCGGCGCGGGAAAAAGATTTCGAAACGGGGCTCCACGGAGCGCGCGCTTCAGGTCGTGGCTCGTCAATGCACCGGCCCGGCGTGGTCTCACCAGCCCGGCCCCCCTCACTCTTAACTTGGGGAAAAAGGACCGTGGAATCTTGATGGCAGCATCAAACAACACAATCTGAAATAGGATTATATCTCCAGAAAACCAGAACTTCTATCATATAAGCATTACATTGCATGGCTTTCTTATGATCTTCTTTTTAGTAATGCCTGGCTTGTTTGGAGGATCTGGAAATTATTTTGCACCTATCTTTCAAGGGTCTCCAGAAGTGGTATATCCTAGAGTCAATAATTTTTCTATCTGAATTCTTTTACTTTCATATCTTTTCCTAATCCTTTCTATAATCTCAGAATTTGGAGGTGGTACAGGATGATTTTTTCCACCATTATCCACTTTTTTATGACTTTCTCACCTTCAAGTACAGGAAATCTTATATTTGGATTATTAATCTCTGGTATATCTTGATGTCTTACATCTCTTAACTTTTGGACAACAATTCTAAATCTGAGATCTTATTATCTGACATTAAAGACTATCCCATTATTTCCTTGGGCTTTCTTGATTACAGCTTTGATGCTCTTATTAACATTACCAATCTTATCTGGTACGCTTCTTTTAATATTGGGTGATCTTCATTCTGATACACTTTTGCTTGATCCTATATTTGGAGGAGATCCTATATTCTATCAACATTTATTTGGGATTTTTGGATACCCAGAAGTTTACATCTTAATAATTCCTGCATTTGGGATCATTTCCATAATAATTTCTGGGATTTTACAATTAATACTCTTCGGAAACCAATGAATGATGTTTGCCATGTCATCTATTTCTCTTCTTTTTTGAGTCTTGTTTGGGGGCATCATATTTAAACTGTAGGTTTAGAAAGTGATACAAGAGCTTATTTTACAGGAGTTACAATCTTAATATCCTTGCCAACTGGTACAAAAATCTTTAATGGAATCTTGATAGCAGCATCAAACAACACAATCATGAGTATTCAATGCGAGCTTCCCAGCTGCAAATTGCGCATTACTTCGAAAGTCGAAACGCCGCCATGCTCACTCATGCTAGGGAGGGGATTCGGCACGCCACAAATAGTCAAAGCGGGATACCCAAAGTGGGACACTCTACAAATGTAAATTAAAAGGATCAGGGGACCACAAAACCTAAACCGGGACCAAGGGCTGTAAAATTAGAGGACAAAATCTAGGACCTTGCTTGAGCGCCATCTCCTTGCATGATCCATCAGTTGCGAATCGATAGCTCGAGACGGAATCACTATGAGGACGTCCACGCTGGCAAGCAGCCTTGGACCTTGTTGGCAGAGGGTGCTCCAGGCTGTTTTGTGGCGCTTGCGCTTCTTGCTGGCACAAGACTAAGTCACTAAGCACGGGGCTCATTCCAAGCATCACGCTTTCCACAGGAAGCGCCTGTGATGTCTGCTGCGGGCGTGGGAAGTGCTGACTGGCAAGGTGGATGAGCTGCAGCCAGTAGCAGTCAAACCTCAGAGCATAAATGCGTCCGGTTTGCTGGGATTCTTGCGCCATATTACACTTTGCACATCATTGCACTGGTCTCCGAGTCACCCATCATCTGTGAGGTGGACTTGTGCCCAGTGCCTGGAACGTGCCGAGACCACCTTGCCAAGCTTCGGCACTCGCTGTGTCCGATTGCGTTCGTGAGCCCGGTGACGACGTGTCCCGACTGTGAAGTTGCTACCCCCTTAGATCTTCAGTCTGGCTTAGGACCTGGTTGAGGCTTCCCCTTCCACGATCTCACTTGGTCTGCAGGCCTCCGCGACAGCGCTTGAAGAGCTTCGCAAATCTTGCAAGATATCTTCCACACCCGACCACCGCAGATCGAAGGACAGGAAGTGCTCACCCTCCTGAGAAGCCAAGAACCGCTCATGTGGGTTGCATTCCATCATCCATTCCTGCTTTGCCCAGACGTGTCTAGACATCTGGAATCAGGCTTTCTCTTCGTCAGGGCTGGTCGCAGGAGGCAATGAAAGGCAAGGGGCAAACGTGTCGGAGTGACGAGGGGGCGAGGCAGCTTGGTCAATGAAGGGTTGTGGGTAGAGAACATCATGTTGCAAGTGGATCAGGACACAAGCACTACTGGGTTGCAAAACTGCTAGGGAAACTTTTGTCGGCACTCTCCTTGAGCTGGGAGTAGTACCATTCGTGGTATAGAAATGGGCTGGACAGCACCACAGAGCCGCAAAGCAGTCGGTACTTTAAAGCCAAGGCCATCGTGTTGCCAGGCAGGTTGGCCAAGAACCTGGCAAAGAAACAAAAGAACAGCTTGAAACAGCTTGCCGGACATGTCGGAGACTGCATGCTCCATAATGCAGATTCACGCAACATTGTATACTGGTAGATTTGGCCTGTGCTGGCACCATTCGTGGATTGGGACGCAGCTGGCACTGCCACTGCTGACCACCTCGAATACAAGTGAGCACTGGACCGAACCGGAACAGCTGTGAGGAAACAAACCCACGCCGATCCACCTGGCGCTGTCCTTCTGGCCCAATGACCCATTCCATCATCGACACGTTGGCTTTCTCTAAAGATGCCAGGAACGGCACCACTTGTTTCCTGGCTGCGTACATTGTCACAAACAGCGTTGCAGGATTCTTCGCGCTTTGTGAACAGATGTCTGGGTCCTGTAAGTCGAGGTTGCAGCACCCCGCCAGAACAGCGAGTCGGTCTTCTCAGACCACAGTGGCACCTCTACAACCAGCACTCGATCATTAGATGAATCAGAATCAGAAAGTTCCGACGAGGGAATCTGTGTTCATGTGTAGTTTTCGCTGTGGAAGGGATTGTCTCAGATGCAGAAAGACAATGAAAAGCAGGCATGGTTAGGCCTCTGTCATCTTGGCCAGGACTTGGGACCAGACATGGGCGCCCGCAGGTTCCGAGGGACACTCCGACTCAGGCCACGCATATGAGGAGAAGTCTGGGTACAGGATGCCACCTCAAAGCGTCAAAGCGTTAAAGCGCGCAGGCGTTTCCAACTTCCAAGCTTGGGTGAAGACAAGCGCCGGCCTGCAGATTCAGGGAACTTCGCGATGACAAACATTGGAGCTTCGATCTGGGCGTAGCCATCCGACGTGTCGACGACCTTGGCGTTTTGACAGCCGTTGTGCTTGAGGTGTGGCGATGCGTCTTTCCAGGGACCAGCCCGCTTGCTGGGCCATGAGTGTGAGGTAGAGCTAGAGCCTGTCATCCAACACATCTGAACGGGGCTCCAGCAAATTCAGCATCTGGAAGTGGCCCGAACTTGGCCGAAACTCGGTGAAGCATGGCCTCAAGACATGTCCAGCACAATGACAGCTGCGAACCTCCAGCCTACTGCAGACTCAGGGAAAGCTCCTGAACACATTTGTCCAGGCTACCATGGTGAGGCGGTTTCGGCTCTGGAAGCCTGGCTGCTCCTCCGAGATGAACACCTCCAGAGTCCAGAGGCTCTGACTACGATGGAAGCACGTTTAGTTGCAACTTTTGTTTGCTTACTTGTAGCTTCTCATGTTTCTCATCAGGTTGACTTGAGAAGGGGCTACGAAAGCTAGTCACCGCAGGGGGGTGGCATGCAGCGAGTCGGCAGGACTTGGAGCCGCCGGCGCACTTTTTCCGTATTCAGGCACATGCTTCAAGCCCTAAACTCCTTCAGCCCCCTTGCTTCCCCCGCTGGAACCCGGTGTCGCAAACGAAGTTTAGGTACAGGGACGCTCTGTTCAGTACGACCTCTGCAAAGTACCACAGACCTTCAGAGCATGGTGACTGTGGGGGGCGGGGGAGGACCTTGGGGTGGGGTGGGGGGGGACCTTGTGGGGGGGGGCGGGGAGGGGACCTGAAGGTGGTAGGGGGGGGGCCCCCCCCCCTACCTTATCCCACACGCAACCACCTTAAAGGAGGGGGGGGGGGGGGCGCCGGCACCTTATCCTTCGAAAATGCTTCACGGTGAGGTGAGGGGGGGGGGGGGCCCCCCCCCCCCCAACCCCCACCTTAAGTCTTGGGTTTCGGACCTGTTAAGGTGTGGAACCCTTTTTTTCCCTGGAAGCTTCTTAACAAGGTGAATACCAGTGCATGGGTAAACGACAACTCCCGCCAGCTCCACAGAGCTAGCTTTCGTGACTTAAAACCTAGCAAAACATGCTACAACGAACCCAGCTACCGACTCCAATGGACTTTAACGATTCAATACTGGCTGGGCCCGTTGCTCTTCAGGAAAAATGCCGAACATGGTCGCCTTTTGGTCATCAACAACCTGCTGGAACCACTTCCCGGAATATGCAGCATTGGCCTGCCCGTTTCTGATCTGCACCACGAAGCACGCCTGCACAAGGCATCCGAGACTGCTGAGTCCCTGCGAACCTTGTCCCATAAGAACCTGTCTCTGCAGCAGAAATTTTGTATGAAGTCTTGCTAGGATGGTGCTGTTACCAAATCACAGCTGAGGACAAAGGACTAGTTCTTGTGCTGCAAAGTCCCCCACAATGCCCTCAACATCGACCTGCCCGTTCGAGCGGCAAAGATGTTTTGTGCGTTCTGCATCCCATGCAGAGAGCTGATGGAAGGGCCGAAAGTCCCTCTCAGCCTGCCTTAGCAATGGAAGCACTTCGGAAGCACTGTTCAGTGGTCACTACATGGTGCGCTGCCACACAGCAGAATCCAAGTCACTCAAAGAAATTGTTCTTGAAGACGCTGCACCTATGGCCAATGATTGAGAACTCAGGCGCTATTGCAACACCCGACATCACTTCGCTCGAACAAGGGCTTCACTCACACTGCGATTACTCTCACAAAGCTAGGAAAGCTCATGTCACCTCGCTGGCCACTCTGCTGCTGCACAGAACAGACAATATAGTAGACCGATGACGAATGCCCACATGGCGGGTTCATGGCATACAGACAATGCTCTGTCCAAGCTACGGATGCATTGTCCACCTCGTTAAACGCAGGATAGCGCAGGAACTTGTATCTGCTCTACCCTTCACCTCAACTTTGAATTCCAATGTTGGACAATGACAGGTGGCTGGAGCCAAAGCTAGCAGGACAAATACAAGCATGATTTGCCTTGACCATCTTGACGCCCATGGCTGTCTTGGTCTCATGCGACTGGGAACCATCTAACCGTCGACCCGATTGCCTTACTAAGCTGCAATGCACAGTCCTGACATGTGCTGAAGAGCGGCGGGATGTACCTGAGCTCGTTGCGACGCGTGAGCGACCAGCGCAAGCCACAAACCCAAAATAAGCAGCTGACTGTCTTCTGAAGAGAACACAGGCAAAAGCATACTCCTGGGGAGTACCCATTTGCCAGCATAGAATCGAACAGAATCGAACAGACTTCGAAAAGATGCGATTTTCAACGAGTTTTCTGGGCACATTGAAAGAGAGGAAGCTCTACGAAGCTCTGGATTGAAGAGGTCGGAAGAGTCTCCTTGGAGCGAACGAAGAACTCCCAGCCATCCCAGGACGCGATGTCATCTGTACGGTTCATCTTCTTCAGATACTGTCCGGACACAACCTGGAGAGATTTGCGGGGAAAAGAAGCGAAAGCGGAAGAGAGCTCTTACACTCAGAGGGACAGCACATGATCACTACCGGCTCTGAGGGTCGAACCACATAGAACTGGTCCAAGTTCTCAGTCAGACTGCGCTGGTACTCCATGGCCACAGTGCGTAGGTCCTCCATGCCTGCCCGTCGCCAAGACTCTCATGTCTGCGAAAACCGACCGAAGACTTATGCTCAGCTGCTGGCCGTCGCGAGACTTCTCCAGGTCCATGATCAACTGTTCATTGTCGACGTGAACCATGACTCCTCGATTGCGGGGTCTCGAGGCCCATCAACCCTTTCAGTCAAGAATTTGGTGCTGAGCTTGGTACGCACACCAGGGGGCACGGAGACCGGCTGCGCTTTGTAGCTCACCTCCCAGCCCTGCAGACTTTTGCAGACTGAGAAGTTGTGAGCCATCGCGAGCCATGAGCAGTCATGATCTAACGCAAGAATGCAGCTTCGCTCTGTTATCCACGGCGATCATGGCTGCCCTACTTGTGAATGCACAGGAGGGTGTGGAAAAGCAAACGACGAGCATGGAGTCGCATGGAGCGAATTTCAACGCTCGCTGTCCACGTCTGCAAGCTTGTGCCACGCGTGGCTGCCTCGCACATACGTAAACAACTATAAAACACTTTGTCAATTAGTCCATTCCTGACCTGGTTACTTGAGTGGTCGCTGCCACTAAGCTCATGAAGGAATGGGGGTCATTTACATCCTGCTTCTCACAGATGTGCCACTAGTCCTGGACGCCACATAGCATGTTCGCAGGCACCGCAACATCCATGTCGGCAGGGTACGGCAAGTTCAAGCACTTCATGATGTCTTGGAACTCATCCTTGCTCTTGGTCAACCGACTGTTGAACAGTCGTTCCTCCTCAACTGTAGACACGCTGCGGCCCTTGTAATCATGGGCTGGGCAGACAATGGTCTCCGCAGGGAGAGTGAATATCTGTTTGTGGACGCTGTCGTACAGGCGCCCAGCGCAGCCCTGCTGAAAGTCCGTTCTGCCACAACCACGGATGAGCACGGCATCACCGCTGAATACGAAGCTGGCACCCCGGCCTCCAGCGATCGAGAATTGCAACGTGCACTGATGGTTCTCTGCGCAGCATGTCAAGCCGTTTCAACTCAAAAGCACCAACATGCTACGCCAAAATGCACACACACACACACAGAGCCAACCTGCATTCAGCATTCAACAAAGGTTTTTTGATGTTTTTTGCTGAGCCTGCCTTGCAGTAGAAACGAGACACAGCCGTCCGTGTGACCCGGCGTGGCGCGCACGTCGAGGCTCAGGTTGCCGAAGCGCAGCGAGTCCCCGTCCTTCAAGTGGATGTCAGCTTTGGCTCCCGAGGCAGCCGAGATGACCGTGCGAACATCTGGAGATGTCTTCTGAATCACGCCACCGGACGTGACATGATCTGCATGACAATGGGTGTTCACCACGTACTTGAGCTTCATGCCGAGTTCCTCGATGATGGCGAGGTCGCGTGTCATCTGATTCATGACTGGATCAAGCAGAACAGCTTCGTTTGTGTCTGGGCACGTGATGAAATATGTCAGCGTGCTGCTTGACGGGTCAAAGAGTTGCCGGACCTCTGGGCTATTCGCAACCAAAGGGTCGATCTTCCTGTCCCCTGCATTCAGTTCGGGCAAGTAGGTCCTCATCCAGTCGACAATCTCAGGCTTCTTGAGGATGTCGAGCTGAAGATCGTGTGCCAGCAGCTCCGCTGAAGCACCAGTGTAGCCGCGCTTCCGGGCTAGCCAGAGCAGCACTGCAAGGCTGGCTCGCACAGCACTGTTGCACTGAATAAGCAAGGGCCGTGGGAGAGTTTCTACTGCATCGATGACCTCTTCCACTCTACCCGGCAAGTCAAAGTGTGAAGGCATGAAGGAGATCCTTAGCTGTCGGCTTAAATTGCACAATCTCTAGTGTGACATGTGACTATGAGAAGCTTAAGAACTTATCAAGAACCTCTGTCACCCTGCCTCGTCAGTCCAACATGACACGTGAATCAAACGAATCTAGCTGCAAGCCCAGGGTCACTCGGACTTGAACACCAGAAGCTTCAATCACGTCTCTGTGCAAGTTGGGATCTGTCTCTGGGTTCAGAAACAGCCAGGATTTACACAACGGACTCATCTCAGCGACAGCTTCTTTGGGCAGAGTGCCCGAGAGTAGGACCCCACCCGGCATTGAAGGATTCCGCACCCCATGGCGCTCTGCAAGCTTGCCGACCACATCTTCCACTGGCACAGACATGGGAAGGCTGAGGCCGCTACGTCCGTTAAGCGAGATCTGTGAAGAGGTCTACCGCAAGTAGCTGCTGAGGAGAAAACAGCAGAAACGCAGAGGACTCAACGGCACACAGAGGATCAAAGTGCTATAGCACCTTGTCCATGGTTAATTGCATAGCTTGCTCTGGATTCTAACGCAGGAAGCTCAAACTTGGCCTCGTCGTTCTGGAACACTCCGTCTTTGAGTCCCGACGCACTCGCAAAACCCTGCAAGCAACAAGCCAGTGCATAAAATGCGCTACTATCACTTGATCCGACTTTGCCTCATGCTGCCCGCAAAGCATGGACATTGCACGACAAATTTTACGACATGCAGTCCGTCTGCGCAGCTACCGCAGTTCTCGACTCCTCTAAAACCCATCCATCGCCTTCCGCAGCCAAAAGCCGTAGCCGCGGTAGCTGAAGCTGTCTTCGTAGCCCCGGAAGGGTTCGATCTGTGGCGATCTTGAAATCGACAGCGGAGTGACTACAATCAGCGACCAATCACGATGAGTATCCAGTAGCATCCACAAATGAAAACCAGACTTGCCTTGATCAAGTCGCTTTGCTTGGCCATCCTATCAGCAATGCAATGCTCAAAGCAAGTGTTATTTTGTTTGGGCACAATTCGTTCAAATTCCCGGAGCCAAGAAGCATGTTCTTGACAGCTGCCAGCTGTTCACCCAAGGCAGCTTTAACCATCTCAAACTTCCTAACGTCGAACAGGCGGTACATCACTTCGGCCTCTGCATGTGTGAGGGGCGCGCGTTCGCCACGTGAATGGCAGCAACAATGTCCCACTGTGGCTGCAAACCGAGGCCTGCCAACACTGAGCGATCTTCTGCAGAAGAAGCTCGCCTGAAGCATGGAGAGGCCCCTTGCAACAATGCAAGTGCCTGTGCGACCAGGATCCCAGGAAGATGCCGAGGATCTCTGAATCGAGCCCCCCATACAAAACAATCCTGTATATCAAGCTTCCAGTAAGAAGACCCATCACATCTATCCTGCATTGTTCGTCGACTGCATCCAAGTCACGATGGGTGCTTTGCACTAAGATCCTTAGCCATGCTCCGAGAGACATAGCACAACACGGGAAGCTCAACAATGAGGCATCTTCGACATCTTCGACCATCTCATCTTCTAGCCGTACTCCTTAGAAACCGATCGGGAGCATATAGAGTAATATAGAGTCAAGTGACCTCGTGCCACTCCAGCTGGATCCCTGTGAAGGCCGAAGCTCTAGCAGAAAGTAGCGATTTGTGGAGCTGTCCACAACTGCGCGACGAATGTCCAAGTAGGAAATCCTTTCGCCTCGGATATCCCTCTCCATCAAAGAAGCTTGACGAAGCTGCAAGGCTGCGAGCTGGCTAACCAAACCACGAGGCTGTGCACTGGGCAACAGATGTCTCGTAGAATCCAGCTGCGAGTGTATTGCAACCCAACAGAACTGGTTGCGGCAGAAGCTCGACCGTCTATCAACTTGCTCATCTCCTGACTCATGGCACACATCCTCTTGAACAGGCACGATACGAAACTATAAACCCACTTCACTTCTCAGCGGTCTCTCTAGCATCTAGTGGCAGCCAGGGTAGTCGAGCAAAGCCACGTTGGCTACTGACATGAACGCAGACGGGGCTCCCGGTTTACGAAATAGATGAAGTGCTTGGAGATACAAATGTTTGCCCGGCGTTCTTCCTGTCAGGGACAAGCTCATGCAACATAACGATGTGCGGCTAGAAACAGTCCAGACACTGCTCCTTTGTTGGTCTTCCGTGGCCTTGTCATCAAAAACGATGACTATGCGCTCGAACAGTTGCAAAGCATCCTTGCAGATGGATGCCAGGACATCCAGTATGACTGGATCGGAAGACATGGGCTTCACAGGGTATCCTCAGCAAGCAGGCACGATATGCACGATTCAGGCCCGGAAACCATGCACATCAGGCAAATCATCTCGGTGGGGACAAACATGATGAAGAATGGTTACAGAGGAAATGAAAGACAAATATGGAGTGAGGGAGAGTGCGATTGATAAGGCTTGCTTCGCCAATTCGCAATGGATGCAGATTTCCGGCGAGCGTATCATGGTAGCAGGGTCATTAGGCAAGGCTGCGTGCAGTTGGACACGAAGGCACAGAGGCTGGCAAACAAACTGCTTGATTCAATCATGCCTTGCTTAGGTTGGTTTTGGTTGCGATGCATACGTGCCCGGCCTTTTGCGACACAGTTACTACAAGCCTTTCGCCTTGCTTGATTCAAAAGGCTTGTTAGTCTTGTTGTGAATCCCGGAAGGGGATGCTCTCTGCGGGATACTCTCTGCCGCTCTCCGCGGGCTTCTGGTGCGGATGTGTGGAAATGTAGGACATTCTCGGCCTCTCGGCCCAGGTGAGGAGAAAGAGATGAGCCAAAAACTAACAACAACCTTATGGGGAACAAGAACAAGCAGCACTCGATCCAGCTTGCATCGAGGATTCAGCTTCACGATTCGGACTCCAAGAAGCAGCAGTCCGAATGCGACTTCGCATGTAAGCGCAGCGCTCTACTCATGGCTAGTTACGTTGGTGTTCTGTATTCGACTATTCGCCTACACACCTTGTACTCTTTGCACTGGCAAACACATCCTTCAAGGCTTCAGTTGCTACCTGGTTGCCGGGCTAGGGCGAACATGCACAAGCAAGCTAAGGTGGTGGCTGCCCGTACATAGCAAGCGAATAAAGACTTGTCTCTCGGCGAGAAAGAAAAATGAACTTGCAAAATGCCCGCTTCATTGTCTGAGCCTAATCATAGCGGTCGACCATGAACGTCCAAACTGCACCAGTATTGTACCAAGTCCCTTCAGCTCTACATTGATCAGAGTCACTTCAAGTTCAACCGGCTCAATGAACAGACTCGCGTTGACGAGCAGGTTTCGTATGCACTTGGGGGGGGGTTATGGAGTGGAAGATGAATTCAAGTTGTGAATCGAACAATACGGACACTTGAAAGCAGAAAGGACCAAGTAACCACAGCAATCATGATGTACATGACCATGGGAAGTTGGAAGAGCTGAACATGGCGTAGTAGCAATGCTTCTTTTACCCATTGTAATGCTGTATGATGTGCAATGAAAACTTCGTGCTGGAAAGCTAAACGTCTTAGGCTGTACGCCGCAAATTGACGCAATATCCCACGCCTATTTTCAAGCGGCCTCAAGACCTTCAAGAGCATCCATGGCACTGCTCAAGGGCTACATGAAAATGCTCAGCAATACAAGCGGTTGCAATTGTGTGGTCATGGGCAGGGCTTCGGCTGTGCCATGCGGCACGTGCACGACAAAGCCCGTCGATGTTGCAGCAAAACACGATCACCAGCACATACGCGTCGATGAAACATACACCGCGTCACCTGGTAAGACATACATGAACTCATGGAGTCGAACAGTCGAACATGGAGCGACAGCGGTCCTTGCTTGTTGCCACGCAGGGAAACTGCCAGTCGCGCAAATATGAGAAAATGACGCATGTGCACATCAGGCCACTTTCACGAGAAGTCGCGGCCAAAACCCCTCCGAAGTTCCGTGAGGACGAGGATTTGAAGCCCCACCTTCCCCAAGCTAGACCCCCACCTCATGATGTGTAAAGTGGGGGGGGGTACTCCAGTGTCTGATGCCTAAGCAAGCAGCTCGATAACCCGACACGGTGTGGGCGTTGGCACAACACTTTCAGGTTTGCTCGAGAAACGTATTGTAGTCGCTTCCTCTTAAGGCTAAACCCACTTGGAAAAACATTTGGCGAAACATTGGGAATGTGGGCTTGTGTCGATGTTTTTCAGGTTTTTAGAATTCGCTCAGGCGTTTGTGCAGGAAACTGCATGGCTTGAAGATTGTCAGCTCAATAATTGGTGAGGAGGCATGTGGGGGGGGTGGCACCATCCTGTCCGAACGAGGCGCAGATGCCTATTGTACTTAAGCCGTCCTCCCCTCCCCCCCCCCCCCCCAGGTCAGGTGAGGTCGAATGTGTCCAAACATGCCTTGAAATGCGGTCCTTCTGGGGGTCTCGTGGGAGGGGGGGGAGGGGCAGAACAGCTTAACTACGTTGTACTTAAGGCTGCGCGGATGCCTTCATCCGTGGGCCCTCAAGTACGTTGTACTTAAGCCGTCCTCCCCTCCTCCCCCCCCCCCCCGCCCCGTCAGGCGAGGTCTATAATAATGTGTGCACACATGCCTTGAGTCGCGGTCCTAGCGGGAGGGGGGGCGGGGCAGAACAGCTTAATTACATTGTACTTAAGGTTGCGCGATGTTGTGCGGATGCCTTCATCCGCGGGCCCTTAAGTACATTATACTTAGGCTTGTCTTGAGCTAGTTTGGGATCTTATTTTGTGGGTCGCGGGGTGCAATTCAATGGTTTCAAGCCAGCTTCAGATGCGCTTATCAGGTCTTGGGAGACGCATTTGGGCTGTGTTCGGGCATTGGTATTGACCCCCATTACTGCGCCAATGCTTGCAGCCAGCTTCCAGGAGCCCAAGCCAGGCCCAGATGCAATTTTCAGGCCTTGAAAACTGCAGTTGGGCCTCGTTCATGCACTTTGAGCCGACAATGCTTGAAGCCAACTGCTGGGAGCCCAAGCCAGGCTCAGATGCGTTTTTCAGGCCTTGGAAATTGCATCTGGGCCTCGTTCGGGCACTTTGGTGCGACCTGAAATGCCTTCCTGCCTGTTCCTGAGCCGAACACGCTTAGCTTCAAGCGTTCGCAGCAGCTGTTATTTGGCCCGGAAATGTATAATGATGTGGGGGACTCCCTTTTATGCTTAAGGTCAGGGTCTCCCCAACCTCTTCATGATGCCCGCTAGCCAGCACTTTCTCGCCGCATCCGTACAGGCGTGTTTAGCTGGTTCCAAAACTAAATTTTGAAGTCGCTACGTAGGAGCAAGACGGAATTTCAGCCAATGTCCATCCTTGCGTACATTCAGTCATTCTGCACTCCTTGACGCCGGAAGAAGCAGAGATACCTGAGCAGCATTCTGCATTGGACCTGCATAGGCGGACTTTTTGTAGTAGAAGTGGTAGTCGTCAAAGCCCAACTCGCCAAATCAAACGAGGGCGCCATGAAATGAAACGCCTCAACCGGAGCAAGGCATTGCTGCCCGACGAGCTCCATGACGAAACCCTGCTTGATTTTCGTCCTAGCCCAGGGCGTGCTAACCCAGGTCGGAAACATGAATCCATGCCGAGGCTTTCGGGGAACGGTGTCTGTGACATCTAGGCCTGGTTGCAACAAATTGCAGTACGCAAATCGTTGTGAACTGGCGGCTGCACGTCATCTCATGTTTTGCGATGGATGTGCAGGCCAAAGAAAACTGTCAATGTAAATCCTCAGCAAAAGCACATGATGGATCAGATTTGAGTGTGTGTGTGTGTGTGTCTTCTGTTTGATCGTTGAATCAATCATGGTTGCTGAATATAGCATGCACGAGTTCACATGTCATAATCTGACATTGACACAAAGTCGTTACGGTACCGGACAACCTTTGATACAGATTCCAAACCAAATCACAACCGAAAATTTGGAAAGTGAGTCAATCAGATCAGTTCTTTAACATACACAAGTGCAGGAGCTTCACGACGTTTGGCCAGGCTGCAAAGCACACATTTCATCGTGGACCCAAGGGGTGAGACTGCATGGGCAACACCTCCTGTAGGGGACAACCCGGGCGCTCGGGCGCTCCTTTAGCAATGCATTCTTCCAGGGCATAATCACACGTTGCGTGAGAAAAAGTTCAGAAGACCACCAACCCCTGATTGGGACGCCGCAAGGTCCGGGTGACACTCCTCCTGGTCTCACAATGTCTCACTTGCGCGCGGAAGGACGCTGCCCGCGACGAGATGCACCCGCGAAGCACCATGCTTGTTGGAGATCTGAATGTGCGTGTAGAAGTTGTCGCTGATCCGGCTGGGGATGGGGCCACAACCAGCCTCTGAGTCATACTCCTCCTGCCAAGGGTAAAGGAACAACGAGCAAGTTACAGTATCGGACTTTGCAAAAGAAAGGATCAGCACGAGCATCTGGGTCTGACTTTACCGAAAGGAAAGCAAGAAGGCAGCGCACAAGCACTTCATGCCTCCAGTTCGACTACTCAGCTGCAGAATGCCTGCGCACAGTCACATGCGGCAAGTACCAAGGCAGATCTTGTTCATCTTGTTCAAATTGCATGAGAATCTAAGCGACGAGCCGCCAGAAACCCCAGCAAGAGCCCGGGCACTCAGAGTATGGCCTTTCAGGAATCCGGTTACGATGAGTCCGAAGGTGGCTCAGCTTGCACCAGCCTTTCACATGCCCGGCACCGACGAATGGGAGGAGCAGGAGAGGCCTTGGCAAAGCTTTGTGCCGTCATAAGCCGTAACTTTCTGTGTTCTTGCCTGGGTTACCTAGGTGAACCACAGCCAATCAGAAGTGAGTGCCGTGCGCCAGCACCATCTGTCAAGAAGGCCAGCCTCGCCTCCACCTGTACGATGGTAAAGCCATGAATACCCGTGAATACGTGTCAAAGCCAAAAGGGTGTCCCTGCCTGCATTAGCTTCTTTCGCAATGTGTTCCGCCGGTTCTTCTTACGAGTTCCCACCTCACAGAAGCCATGACAATATCAACAGAAGAGAAGCAAAGGTTCTGAGAAGGGTTTGATTCAAAATCACAGTGCAGGGAGAACCCCTATCCAGCTCATCCGAGTCACTAAGCACCACCCGAAATTCCACATGGCCCCCCCCCCACGCATGGAGCATGTTTCCCCTGTGAGCTTCAATACAATCAATAGTCAGAGCCTCAGACCGCCAAATATGAGAACGCTATCTTAGGGTGCAGAAGGGACAGCTGTAGCCAATGCCGTCGGACAGACTTAGCCGGGTACAATCAATGACTACCTTTCATCAAACCCCGCTGGCCTCTTTTGCAAGGCAGGATTGCAGAGCACCGGCTTGCAGCTGCAGCTCTTCCGCCTTAGCAGCGGCAAGACCCATCCAAGATTTGCACGTCGAGCAACGCGAAACAAACAAATGAGCCATGCCAAAAACGGCAACCGCGTCGGACGTATGCAAAGCTTTGCACACTGAAACGGTCGAGGAAGTGGTGGTAGATGCCTGAACGTGTTTGCAGCATCTGCTCTTGGGCACCTGCGAGTTCTGTCAGAGAATCGCCTAGACCTTAAACTTCAGTGTCTTCAGGCCTTTCATCTCCGAGTGCTCCGGGCACCAGTACCTGATCGGAGTGCAGACTGTCAGCCCGACGTGTAATGCCTGAAAAGTGAAAAAGGTTGCCCGAATCGAAGACACATGGCAAGCAGCACTCACACGACACAACAACACTTACGAAGCAACCCTATACGACCCTGGACCCACCGACTGAATCGTTTACATCCGATCGTCTGGGCGTCGCGCTCGCCGCTGCTGGTGGCATCACAGGCGTCGCATACCAGGACCAATGCTCGGCCTTCGAATTCTACGTAAGTTGAATGCAAATACGAGTCTGCATTTCTGACCAAAACCTTGAGGCATGCCATGTTAAGATGCAGGCAGACTGCACAAACCCTGCCGCCATGATGAGTATCCTTAGCCATATCAGCTGTTGCTCGGATACTTCCTGCATTCCTTGCTCGTGTTTTTGTTTTCCTTCTTCTTCTTCTGCTGGGCATGGCATGGGGGGCAGGGCAAAGCCCTGACCCACGCGCACGAGTGCGCCCGGGTCCCGTCCGGAGGTCTGTGACACGTGGTGACAGACATACGCAGGAGAGGATTCCCCCTTGACAACACTAAAATAACTGTCTAAACACAAAACCAACACTGGTGCTCTAGTTCCCTCTTCTAGGTCGGCAAGAAAGAAAGACGTCGCTCTCTTACGGCCTTATCTCACAGCACGAAGTGATCCCTGTCTCCATTTTCACCTTGAACTCCCTCCACCCACCCACCCACCCACTCACTCACTCACGCGCAATGATGTCCCTGAAGTCCTCCCAAACACACACACACACACACACACACACACACACACACCGCTCATGCCACCAAAGCCATGGCAACCGCCAAACTCTCGCAAGTTCTGTTGCGCCGAGGCGCTCTGAAACGTGCACCGGCCTACGGGTGGCTTGCTGCCTCTCACTATTTGAATCTGTTCGCGGAGGCTTTCCGCCCCTCTGTCACCCGGTTCTTTTTTTCCACCTCCCCACTTCTCTTTGCCACTTCCCACCTCTTGCCACACTCCTTGCAACACTCCCTTGCCACCGAGGTGCCCAGGGTGAGGAGCACTCCGAGCAGCGGCCAACCACGGAAGCACTGCCCTCGCGCCAGAAAGACTTAGACTTTGTGACTTTGTCTCACAAGGCAACAACATTCGGCCCCCCAATGGCCCAATGAATGCCCACAAAATGAGATGCAACTAAAAAGGCAAATAAAGGCAAATAAGCAGCCACAAAAAAATCGAAGAAAGACAGCCCAAGAGCAGAAAGAGCAGAGACTTCTGGCAAGCGGATGGCAAGGCACTGAGCGCATCTGCGCTCTCTTGTCGAAGACAAAGTTGGCTCCCTGAAAATGTCCGCCATCAGGAAATGCCTCGCAACCCGGGCCATCCGTACAGTTGAGACATGACATCAGGCGCAGGCACAGATGACAATGCGACTTGAGGTGTTGATTGCCAAGCCTCAAGGTATCGATGGATGCCACCTTCGAGCTGGAACCTCCCCAACTACAACAGGCCCGCTGGATTCGCGGGTGGCCATGAGTGGGCGCACACAGGGGTGGAGCTGTCGCCCAAGTCCTTGAGCCTGCGCCTCAGATAGGCTGATGCCTGAGCAGGAAAGAAGCAAAGCAGAGCAGACTGGGCTAGACTTCTTACTCTCCGACTCACTCCTGCCATACGGCTGCTCCTCACTCATACCTACTCGTACTCACACGCATACCTACACGTACTTATACCTACGGACTCCCCACGTTGATGTGCCGGCCTTCTCACATCGTATTCCTCCTGTGCCTCAGTAGCTGGGCAGCAGTGTCAACTTCTCGCCTTGTCATCGCTGCCCAATATGTGCCGATCTCAGCAGGAGAGGATGTGTCTCAGCAAACGAGGCTGGAGCAGTACAGCATCACAGTGCGGCCTCGCAGATCCTGACCAAAAGAAACTCTAAACACGACTACTAGCAGGCACCAGGACCAGCAAACAGTGGCATCTAGTCATCTAGTCATCAGCCATACCTGTATGTTGTCTTTTACAAATCGAGGCCATTGAGCTGTGTGCCTGGCAGGGGCCGAGAAGGCGAGCTGATTCTGAAAGCTCATATGGCCTTAGTCCGTGACGTCATGCCCGGATCGATGGCACCATCGAAATGGCCCACATCGTACCTGCTCAGCCGAAGTGTCGATTGGCCCTCCACTCTCACAAAAGACACAGTATGAAAGTCCGCAAGAGGCAGCAAGAACAATCAGCGAGCACTCGAACGTGTTCCGCACATCAATGAGTCGCAGCCTGAGAGCGGGAAGATGCTTAGCAACAGAGCCTGCATCGAGGAACTACAAGGAGAGGATATGTTCCGAAATATCCATGAGCGCGGACCTTTCAGGCAACAGCATCTAAAACAGCATCTAAGCCATGCGCTCCTCCGAATTTTGATGGAGTTGGGAGTGGAACCTGCACTTTTTGAATTTGCCACTGTTCACGACTTTGGCTATGCTAAAATGCCGCTGGCTGCACTCTTGCGGCGACAAGCGCGTCCCAGCCTCCCGACTCCGCACATCACGGCCACACACGATGGTAAGAAGGGGCCAGTGACAGACTAGTGACAGTGCTGATTTCTCGGTTCGAGTCTTCCCACCTCGGTGTGAACGTCCAGTGGCTCCGGTTCCTGGAGCCCAAAGCCAACGAGCTCTGAAACCTTCAAGGGTGCCCCGACAATATCTGGGTGATTTGCTTTGGCAGAAGCAGGATGAACAGGATGCAACAGGACCGGCCTTCTTCACAACAAAGTCAGGGAAGAGGTTCTGATCAGACCTGGGCAGTGATGGGCAGTGGTGCCGGAACAGAGAAAGTGATGTTGCAAGAGCTTGGCTCTGCCCTTGCATGAAGCATTGGTATCAAGCGAAGGCGGCAAAGACCAAACTGCTGGCTGCCCCAGAGGCTTCTAAAGGTTTCTAAGAGGCTTAAAAGGCTTCTGGCTAGGCAATGCAGATCTGTCCCAGGCTCGCACGCAGGGCTCCTGAGACAAACGAGCCCCTGGATTGTTGCCAGTACATTCCCCCTTGGGCCATCAGACGGCTCAGAGAGAAGTGGAGAAGTCAAACAAGTCCTCTTCCAGTCGATCTGGCTGTCGAAGAAGCTTTGAACGGCAACCTCCACGCCAACACGCAGACTCTGTTCGATCGTCCGTTCGCTTAATCTCAGAGCTGGGCTTCATAAGCCATCACTGCAGCTGCTGGCCCTTGAACGGTGCCATTGATGCCCTGAGAATTCACACACTTCAGCATTAGAACCTCCTTTGCCAAACTAGCTGGAAGAAGCTCTTCACTCGAAACTGAGGAGAGGGGTACAAACTCCCTCCGCTATGGCACAAAGGGACAACAAGTTTTCGCCCCGAGTTCCAAGTAGCTTCTTTTGCCAAAGCGCCTTGAAAAGACCCGGCGGTGCAACAAAGAGAACAGACACACACGCGAAACAAACCAATTCTGCCACGTTTGCAGTGCAATCGTTACTTTAGCCCCCAATCGAGCGAACTTCGACAAGTGTTGCAGAGATCGCAATAGCAAGCTAATGCTCAGCAGCAGCTTTGAGTAGAACAAGGAACCAAGAAACTAAAGACGACAGGCAAGAACTGAGAAAAGCACAAGTACCACACGTGGTTCGCGCTGTTCCAGTTGACTGCTTCGTCGCTTCACAAGACACACAAAGCAGTTCCGCAGCATGGCTTTGTAAATTTCCTGCCAATCAGGTATCCGCCGAGGCCTCGGGCCGCAGGTGTATAGGTTGTCAGCTCCCCCCAAGCCCAAAGCCACACATCGGCCCCCTTTTTTTGCCTGGAAAGGTACCCCATGGTACCCCTCCGTGAGCTACCACAATCTGAAAGTGGACGGTTCGCCAGGACCAGGGGGTAGGGCCCCCCCCCCCCCCCCCCCCCCCCCCCCCCCCCCCCCCCCTCCCCCCCCCCCCCCCCCGCCCCTGCCCTCCCCGCTTGCTTGAGGAACCTTGAACCCTATGCGGAGCATTGTATAGGTCCAGGTTGGAAGGGTAAAACACCCGCGAACATATTTGGCTCAAGGCTCAAGGATGGCCGGAAGCTGTCCGTTCGCTCTTAAAAAGTTAGGCCGCTGGGGTTTGGGGTTTGGTTACAGTAAGGGTCCTTTCCCCTCCCGTTTGGTTACTTTGGGCCTGAGGGATTTTCTCTTGTGGTTCGGTCTGGGGAATTCATTCAGGGCAACTATTGAGGGTGATATTTGGGCTGGCTCCTTGTCCCCGTGGGTTGCCCCCCGTAGGTTATGAGCCCAAATTAGGTTCCCTGCGGTTAAGCGTTTTTCTCAAGGATTCTGGGTTGAGAAGCAATGCCTTCGCCCAAAAAATGGCTTCAGCCCTCCGTGCATGGTGACAAAAGTGGTGGAGCTGACAGCGGAGTGGATAGTGGTGCAACTGGTTCTCAGGTTGAAGAAGCGGCGCTGGAAGAAGAAATGCCTGGTACTGCAGAAGAACAACTGGAGGGAACGTCAGTTGCTGGAGACCCCAATGAGGGCATAGATCCCAATGCGGGTATGGTTGAAAATGCTGAAGGTGAAAGACGAGCTGTTTCTGTATCACCAAAACCTGGAGAAAAAAGGAACTGGGATGAAACTGGTGGTATAGACCGTGAACTGGAGGCGACCGTTTTACGCGTGTTGCTGAGGCATGGGTATCAGCCGTCGACTTCAACTTCGGGCCGAATGGTCGATCAAGGGGCTCAGACCAATCTGAGTGGAGCGGTGTCGCAAGTTTCCAGGAAACCTCTGAACAAGATAAAAGGGGATCCCTCAGCGAGTTCCATGTGCGATGAAGGCGGTGATGAAAAGGAGACAAAGGGTGCGGACAGCTTTGAAGCTGCACCTACTGCTGAATACGCCATGGGGGAGGAGGAGATCCTAGAGATGGAGGTTGAAAGGATGCGCCAGTTGTCTGAAGAGGCGGATGAGATGCGCCAAGTCTCTGAAGAGGATGGTTTTCAGAAAGACGAGCATCTGATCCAAGCGTGTGATGGGACAACCTGGGACTGGCATTTCCACGAAGCTGGGAGACAGTATTATTACTGCCTGGATACGCAGGAGAGCAAGTGGACACTGCCGGATGTAGGTGAAAAGATGGAAAGTGACAAGGTGGTTGAGTCTCTTTCAGGCAATGGACTGGAGTTGGAGACTGCACTGGGTCCTTCATCGTCTACTCCGACAGCTGAGTCTACAAGGGCGTTCCAAGGTAGTGTAGATAGTGTAAATAAGGAATTATTTTCCTCTACCATCGGGGATAGCGGTCTTAGGGGTGGTAAAGCTGCTGAGACCTCGGGTTCTCCAAGGGAGGATAGAATTTCTGGATTCCAAACAGACATGGCTGGAGAACACCTGGATCGGGAAGGAATCGAAGCACTTTCTGAGGGTGACGCAGCGGTGAAATCTGTGGATCTGGAGGACAAGATTCCCAATGCGAAGGCGAATGCTGTGTCGGTTACCAAGGAGCAGGTGGGAGATAAAATTTCTGGCATTCAGGAGGTTGGTCCTGGAGATGAGGATGATGGAGAAAGAAGGTTGTGCGTTACGACTGAGGAGGTTTCTCCGTCGCCATGGATTCCACCACTCAGAGGGAGGCTTCTGGAATAACTGGAGACGCAGTTATTTTGCTAAAAAAGGACGATGAGGCCTGGAGCGCCAATGAAGCGCGGACTGGTGCGCAAGAGAAAACCTGGAGTGCAGAGGAGGCACGGGTTGAGGCGCATGTGGTTTCATGTTCCGCGGATGACTGCAACAATGGGGCGCAGGTCTCCGTAGTAGCCGACGATGGAGGCTCACAGGTGGACGCACTAGTGCAGCCTGAAGTTGGCGGCGAGGAACAGAATGATGAAGGCCACACCGGAGCCAATGGGGCAGCTGCGGCCGACGATGATGGTGTTATTTCCCCCTTGGTAACCATGGAGCCAAAGGATCCTACAGTGGAAGAAAATGTGCCTGCTGTAGATGACCAAGAAAAGGACCCGGATGGGGTCTCTTCCTCCAAAAGGGAGGAGACATTGCCGACTGGAAGTTTGCTGGAAGTCGACACCGTGCAGGCTTCAACAGGGAAGGCAGAGCCTTTGGCAAAAAAGGATGATGGTTCTGTGTCACTGGAGTGCAAGGTGAATGATCTTGTGGAACTCACTGGTGTACAGGACGAGCAGCTTGGTCCAATGGTGGAAGCAAGGGCGTTCAAGGGGCCGAAGAAAGTGTGCCGGTTTCTGAACAAACGAATGAAGTACCCAATGAGGCAGCCCCAGCTACACATGGAAAGCATTGCTATGAAAAGGGAGATAAGATCACTGGAATTGTTTGCTACATCAATGTGCATGGAGCTTATTTGGAATATGGTGATCTGGATGTATTGATTCCTGCGGAAGGGAAAAATACCCTTCTTTTCAAGGTCGGTGATACCGTGCAATCAGAAGTGCAAAGAGTGGAACAAGATGGTACTGTGATCTTGGACACCTACCTGTTTCTGGAAGAGGATGAAGATGAGGACCCTTCCTCTGCGCTGCGAAAATGGAAAGACAGCGGTTCAGGTACGTGGTGGAGAGATTCATGGTATGCTGGTCAATGGTACCAAGATTCCGACGGTCAATGGGACTGGAAGTCGGAAGAATGGCAATCCTACGAGTGGTTTGCCGATCAGCGGTTATCCTCGGAAGAACGAGATGAAGCCGTTCAAAAACAACTCTGTGGAGAAAAAACTTATAGAGCACTCCTGGAGAATGGAAAAAATGAAAAGGAGTATTTGGGCAAGATCACTGGGATGTTGCTGAATCGTCGAATGGACGAGGTCAGAGAGTTGGTGGCAGATCCTGCACTGATAAAAACGAAGCTCGACTAGCAGTGACTAGCATACAATATGCTGTGCAATGAAGGTTGGACGCCCAGTGGTACAGAAGATGCAGGTTTGGAAAAAATAAAATATCCCCGGAAGCAGTACCACAATGCGCTTCACGACCTGGCACGTCAAAGGAAAAAATATAGTGCAGCGGTCGTAGGTGAAGCAGTGGCAACGTTGCTAGACAAGGGAGAAGATGAACACTGGAATGAGCTCTGGTTGGATTCAAAAAAGTTTTTGCAGGAGCTTGATGGTGCGGTTGAAGCTATGCGTGCACGGGAGCAAAGGCCAATGGAAACCTACCTGGACCCGGACAAGTACAAAAAGGTTTATATGACGCCAAAACCTGTGTCGAAAGGGTATACAAAGCTGTGCAAATTTTACAATCTAGGGAGGTGTCGCAATGGAAGCGATTGTCCCTATGAGCATCGTCGTCATGGTGAAGGGTGGCCAGAAAGAGGTCCAAATGAATCCGAGACCAGCCAAAATACTGGCGATGAGGATGGGGACATCGGTGGCCCTCCAACTGATGAAGGTGCAGTGGATGAGGTACAGCAGGAACGGGAGGATTCAGCCTTCCGAGCCCAGTACAACTACGGCAAAGGGGCGTCAAAGGGTGAGCCTACATCGGTTGAGCCAAAAAAGCAGATGTGTCTGTACTACAACCGAGAGGGTTGCAAATTCGGAAATGCCTGCAGATATATCCACGACGACAAAGCGGTATTGGAAGGGACTTGGGAACCTGGCAAATCTTGGGACAATGCCTCCCGAAAGGCCATGAGGGATGAAGGGTTCCACCATTGCTGCTTCGACTATTACCTCAAAGGGAAGTGTCGCGTGCGATATGGTCCTTGCAGATTTTCTCACGCTGAAATGTCGGAAGATCGACTGACTCGGCTGAAATATTTGGCGAACGTGGCAAACCAGGTCAGGTTCCAAAAAGAAAGAGGACTGGAGATTACAGACAGAAGTACTTTCAAACCACCTGTAATTGGGGGAGCTGAATCTTCATCGTCCTCAGCACCGCAGGCGTTGCAAATGACCAATGTGTCCAAAAAGGAAGGTGTGGTCGATACACTGGATGAAGCAGAAGCAGATGTACAAAAGGATTCGGTTGGCAGAGTCCACCACTGTACTGCTTCAAGATCCAGAAGAGCCAATAGAACATTGGATGGCTCGCAACCAACACCTGTGGGTATACACACCTCAAGTAAGTGAGGTGATGATCAAGCTTGGTGTGACCAACGTCAAAGAGCTCCAGGAGTATATCTTCGTGGAAGATTTGGTTGAAAAAGGGGTCAACAAGGTGACTGCCTGCAAAATTCTGAAGCTGGTTGGC